ATCATCACAATATTCTGTTTTGGATGAAGTAATATTATCATCCAATTTAATATCACACATAAATTCAGATAAATTTAACTCCCAACCAGGAGTATTACATTCATAACATGTTCCATATCTACAATCAGTACATTAAGTTTGACATTTAAATTCACATTAATAACAGCCATCAAATTCTACAAAATTATTATCATCACATTCTTCATAAGCAACAATTAAAAAATCTCCACATATAGGTATACATTATTTTGTTACAGATACATATTTAAATCCTGGAATACATTAAACACAATTTCCATCAGAACATTATAAACAATATTCTGAACAATTTAATTGACACATATCACATCTATCAAATGGATTATAATTTTAATCATCACATTATTCAATATCTTAAATAAGAATACCATCTCCACATATTGGTTCACAATTAACTCCAGTCAAATACCATCCATTATTTTCATCACATTTATAACAAATTCCAAATATACATTCAGTACAATGTTAATAACATTAAAATTAACATTCATAACAACCATCATATGGATATATATTACCATCGTCACATTCTTCATTTCCTATAATTATTGAATCTCCACAATTATTTATACATTTATGGATAGATTCAATAAAAATATAATTGTCTTTACATTCATAACATTTTCCATTTTAACAATCTTAACAGCTCTCTTAACATGCATATTTACATTAATAACAACCATCAAATGGATTATTATTACCATCATCACAATCTTCTCCATCTACAACTATTTGATCTCCACAAATGGGTAAACATTGTAAATTATACCCATCATCATAATATCCATCAATACATTAACATTAATATTTCTTAATTGATCTATAAAATTCAGGAACACAAGTATAACATTAAGTATTTAATGATCCAAAACAAGTTTCACAATATTTATTACATTCTTATAAAATAATTATAATGAATTACATATACAATTTGTAGCTGATAAATAAGATGAAGGATAACATTAACATTCTCCTTAATCTAATAAAAATTATTTAGTATTGGAGAATTCGCATTTTGTACAAACAGAATCACTTTGACATTCTAAACATCCTAATTGATTACAAGTTTAACATGAATAAACTTAAGTGGCACTATTGAAATTTAAGTATTAATTTGTGTTACAATATTGTGTTATACTATGTCCAGAGTATTATCCAGTAAAACAATCTGAGATTGCTGGACCATTACATTAATTACAAAAAGGTGCACACTTATTTAAATTATAAACATACATAATGAACGACAACAAAATATTCTGAAACATAAAGAAATGCATCCTCTAAAGAAGCTTAATTAGTATTTCCTGCTAAAACTATATCTAATTAAGGAGAAGAATGAGGTTATTCTAATAATTAATAATAAACTGTAGTCTCTTTTTTAACATCTCCTATAGAATTAGAAGTTCCTGTATTTGGATTTGTTAATTATGAAGATTGAAAAGAATGAAACTTATATGAAAACCATCCAGACATTTCATCTCCATAAGTCACATTAAGTCTATAACTTATTTTATAATGTGGTTTTAGTGAATTAAATGTTTTTTAAAATTTCCCTACTTACCACACTAAAGCACCTCCTAATACTGATTTTTCAGGTACAAAAGAATAAATTGATCCAGTAAATGATGTTTTAATGGTTCCAGCTAAATCAGTAAAATTATCTATTATTGATGACACTCCTTCAAATGTAGTATTCATGTCATAAAATGCTTTTATCAAATATCTACTATCTAATTACAATTATATAATAAATATTACTTTAAATAAGGTCTTCAAAATCTTAACATGTTCCATTGGCTAATAATGTAGTATGAATAGGACAATTATTAACACATGTACCTCTATATAATTTGAATCCTGAGTCACAAATCAAACATCTAGAGTATGTTTCACATGATGTACAGTTACTCTAACATAATCCATAATCAATTGTAATATTTTTGAATGCCCAATATTCTGTTTATAAAGTTGGTACAGCCTAAATCTTAATTATAGGAGTTGTTGAATATGTTTTAAGGATTGTTTCAATTCTCAATAAATCATAATTATTTCCTGAACAACTTGAACTACTAAATTTATTTAATCTGGCATTCTAAATAGTATAATTAGAAGCTGTCTTTAAAATTAATCCTTATGAATATGAATCTACTGTTATTCTTAATGATGAACCAGTCTACCAACCAAATAAATAAAAGGATGCTCTTATTCTTAAGAATTTTAATCCTTTATGTTCATCTAATTTTAAATAAATCATTTCATAATTTGAAAATCTTCCTATTACATCATCACTTCCACATTGAGCTAATTTATTTGTATTAGATGGATAAAAGGGATCTGGTACATAAACCCATGGGTCATAAGGTAATAAGTTGCCATTACTAATAGAAGTTGAAGTAAAATAACTGAACTTTGATTGTATTCCTAATTTTAATAAAAGACTTACTTGGATCAAACTAACAGTATTTAGAATCATCTGCTAGATAATAATCTCTTGGACATTCTTATGAGCAACCAGTCAAAATTTACACATAGGAATTTTATTCATCGCATTTACAAATACCTCCTTATAATCCACCTTAATAACATGTTAAACAATCATATTCAGTACTTCCTGAACAAGATGCACAAGTAAAATGACATGTGTTTACATAAATTAATATATTTCTTAGTCCAACTCTCATTGAATCGTCTTGATATAAATAACAATATGAAACATCAAATACCGATTTCTAGTGATTTATCCCATTTAATATAACTGTTTTTAATTCTACTTTTGTTTCATCTAAACCTCCACAACTGCTACCTGAACAATCATTTTTACATACTTTATCATATGATTATATTGTAGATGCTTAATATAATCTAGAAAATAAAGTAGTAGTTCCTCCTGAATCAATTAATTAGATTTTAAACTCTGAATTAGCACTTGATTTGGCTCGAATGTAAAATACATCAGTGATTATTCTAAGCTGATAATGAGGATAATAAAATTCTTTCTCAATTCTTGTTCGATCCTCTTTCAAACGAATGAAATCTAATGAATTTGATTAGCATTGTCTTATTGATGATCCTTAAGCTGAATTGTCTGTACAAGATTTCTTAAATTCCCAACCTCTAAGGTTTGACAAATTTTCTTAATAAAACTAACTTTCAATTAGCCTCCATTCTGAATAAGCAATCTGAAATAGAAATACTAACGAAAAAAGTATGTTCAACATTAATATCCCTAATTTGATATATATTTTAGTAATGACTTTGATTAAGGAGGTTTATTTAATATATTATGACATCATGTAATATAATCATACATCTACTGATTGTATGAATAGGATGAATACCGATTTATTATTGATAGATATTTAATCTACTCAAATTTCTAATATCATGTATACAAGAGCAGATAAATTATCTTAATTTTGGTATGATTTTAAGAATCAAGAAATATTAGTTCTTAAATACTTATATGTAATTTAAAATTTTATTACCATACTATTATTAATATTGGAAGCTAGAAATTTCTAAATTTATTTCGAACATAGAAAGAACATATATATATAAGTATACAACTCTAAAATATTATTTACAAAAATATATATACTTTTTTAGATAATATACTAATATTCATTTAGATTACTTTGTTGTAGTTGTTGTAGTGATTACTTAACTACCCTAATAATTAAAATAATAAATAAATATACTTTAGTTCCACCTCCTCCTTATTTTTTAATGTGATCTAATTCAGCTTCAGTTAACATTAATTTTTCCTATTAATCATGGAATTGAGCATTTAATGCCAAAAATTTATCCTTCCAACTTTTCAATTCCTTTCTAACAATCTCAACTTTTTATTCAATTAATTCCTCTTAGTCTTCCTACATATTATCTAATTCATTATTGAGATCATCAATTTATTTTTCTAATTCTTTTATTTTTTCATCCTTTTCATTGATTTAATCCTTAAAGAAGTTCAATTAGGATAATAGTTATTAATTCTCTTATCTTTATCTTTCAACTTATAATATTGAATCTTGCAATTAACCTTCTAATTCTTATATTCTCTTTAAATATACCTTCAATTATTCTGAGTCATTATTTGCTATTTTATTAATATTAATTTATATACGAACAGGAACTTGAGATGTAAGTAAAGCTTTCAATCTTTCTATTTCTTTATCCTATAATTAAATTTTCTTTTTTAATTCTGCAGTATTATCAGTACAAACATGACTTTTCATTTATTCTTAATTAAAATCACTTTAGATATTTACATTTTAATTATTCTAATTCATTAAGATTGTCATTGTATTTTTATAAAATATCTTCATAATCTTCTTTTGTTTTATACAATTCTAATTGAATTTATGATATCTATTTTTCTAATTCTTCAGTATCTACACCAGCTCTTAATTCAATAATGGGTTCTTGAATATAAAATTAAAAATAACATGGAGCTTAAACGATAGGTTATGGTTTCTATTTTTAGAGTTCCTTTAATTATTTTTCAAGATCTTCAACTTTTTTTCTCCAAATATCATCATATTATTCCAAATCGACTACATGAATTGGTCTTTACTATTTTAATATTTAAATTTAAATTATACTCTCACAATTTATGGTTATAATTATGGTTATTAAAGTTGGATTAGAGATTAATACATAGGTGTTGATTTGATAAGTGGTACTGATTAAATTGAATAGTTTCTAACCATTAATTTTATATTACAAGGGCATTAATGGTGTTGGTGATATCTAGATGAATCCAGAATGTCTCATTAATGTATATGTTTAGAAATAAAATATATATTAATAAAAAATATTAGTTTTATCAATATATAAATAAATGATTATAGCATTTACAATTTAAGTATTTCATTATCTCTATAATAATTATTAATTTAACAATTTGTAGACAATTATAATATTTGGTTTATTTAATTAGAATTATAATTAATTATTTATTAATGGACGCAGACATATTTAGAGAAATGTTTCCTTAAGATTATATCAAAAGATTTTTGGAAAAAAATGTTAGAATAGATGGGAGACAATTCAAATAACCTAGATAGATTATTATTGAATTTGGAGAAGGATTTACTAATTATTAATATGCAGATTGCTTTATTTCAATCAAACATATTATTCGAGAGATAGAATCAAAGGAAGTAGATCTAAATTAGTGCATCAGTATTAGTATGTAATGAGACTAAGGATTATCAATTATTATGGATAATCAAGAAGATTTAAGTAATATAGATAAAGTTAGAATTGAAAAACACTTCTTAAGTTAAATTCAAGATGTTGTGATTCAGATTGTGGATCCTTAGAGATTGAGAACTTTAAATGATAAAGTTAAATAAATTGAATTATATATCAGAGTAGCTGGTGGTGATGGATCATTATTGTCCCATTTAATAAATTGTGTTTCCTCTTCTCTATAATAAAGTAAATTTAATAAATTAAAAAATATTAGTAAAGCATTTCGAAACTCAAAATTCTATAATTTATAAGGAAATCAAATGTTAAACATTTGCTGTATTTGAAGACTAAATTCTTGTGGATCCATCTGATTTTGAGGAAAAGAATTCTTCAATTATTACTGTGATACATATTTTAGGTGATGAACAATTTATTTTAAAGAAGTATGATGGCAAATCAATGAATTATAATTTAATATAATAAATTATTTAATTATTATGAGTAATTAATTTCTTTTTACATATAAAACAGTATAAAAATGTCTAATGAAATCTAGATATTAAATCCTGTAAATTTAATCTAATATATTTTAATAATTCAATAAAGTGAAAATGGGAAATGAATGTAAACAATGCACACAAGATGTTCAATCTATAGATTTTCAATCATAACATAATATCATAACATAATCTAACTAATATAGTTTTGGAATGAATTGTGTTGATCATGATATTAATTTTGAGTTCTCCATTATTGATACTCCTACTGTTCCATAATTTGGACTTGAATCACTAAAAATTAAAGCTGATCTTCTCCCTCCTCAAGCTTTAAAATTGTCTTTTGAAGATTCAAATATGTCTTTGTTAGACCTTGAAGAAACAATAGAATAGTAGGTTAATTAAGAAATTAATTGTACTAAATTGCTCTCAAGGTTTTAAAGTCAAGAGGAGAATTCAATAGTTTAGTAAAAAATCAAAATGAAATAGATAACTGGAAGTAATTTGACAACTTCTTCAGAAGTATAACTTCAATAATAATAACCATCTTAAAGATCCATTTAGAAATAAAGACAATTATTATGGGATTCTAGAACTGTAAATAAGGAATTAAAATAAAGGAAAAAAGCTCACTTAAATTCAATGACTTAATTTGAATAAATTGATTATTAGGGTTCTCCCAGGAAAGAAAAAAGCATGTCTCAATTATCATAAGAATTAAATAAGAAAAGAGATAATAATTAGATTAAGCCAATTGAATAAAAAATACAAAATCTAAATTCAACAATATAGGATGAGTTTCTTTATAAGAAAATTAATTATCAATAAAAAATGTAATAAAAGAAATTTCTAAAATATGAGTGATTATCCTTTGAATCTAAATTAAAATATATTACTAATATAATTACATAAAGAGCATATTATTTTTGAAATGATATTTTAAAGAAAAAGAAGTTTAAATAATTTCTGTATAAATTTTGATTCCCAAATATAGTATTAGATTAATATGCTTCATACAATAATCTCATTATAGAAATTTAAACATCTATAATAATTTATTCTTCTTAATATAATGGATTTAACAATTTATATGAGAAATTAATAATTATTTTTTGTTATTAATTCTGGTATCTCAAAATAAATTGTTATTTTTTTTGTTTAAATTTTATCATATAAATTGTAAGTGATATTTATATTTAAATTTTTATAAATAATGCAACAATAGGAAAAATAATAGGAATCCAGCGATGAAGAAATAGAAGTTTAAGGTTAAGGAGAATAATAATAACAACAATAATAACAACTTACTGTTGTTTAGAAGTAAACTCAATACAATTAATAATTGTTGGATAAATTAAATAAACCACATTAATTTTGGGAAACACAACCTATGCCAAATATAAATGAATTGGATTCCTTAAAGCCTGGTCCTATTTAAGAAGGAATTTTAGCTGAAGTAAGATAGGATCCATACAATTTGATCTCTAAATTTGAATGGTGTAATGTTGATTTGAGAAATGATGAACAAGCCTAACAAGTATTATTAAATATTTAATTTAGGTATATACATTATTGAAAGAAAACTATGTTGAAGATGATGATAACATGTTTAGATTTGATTATTCAATTGACTTTCTAAGATGGGCATTATTACCTCCAGGATAACATCCTGATTGGATTGTGGGTGTTAAAGTAAATTAAAAGTTGGTTGGATTTATAACAGGAATTCCAGTTACATTACATATAGAGAATTAGTAAACGAAAGTAAAGATGACAGAAATCAATTTCTTATGTGTTCATAAAAAAATTAGAGCAAATAGATTGGCTCCAGTATTGATCAAAGAAATTACAAGAAGAGTTCATATTAAAAATATGTGGCAAGCAGTCTATACAGCTGGTATAGTTGTACCAACTCCAATTTCTTAAACAAGATATTATCATAGAAGTTTGAATGCAAAGAAATTAATTGAAGTTGGATTTTCATCTCTTTCTGCTAGATAAACCATATCAAGATAATAAAAACTATACAAATTACCTGAAGAACCAAAAACTTAAGGTTTGAGACCTATGAAAAAAAAAGATGTAGCTTAAGTTACTAAATTATTAAATGAATATTTAAAGTAATTTAAATCTTTTATATATTAGATAATTTAAATTGTATTTTAAATATACAGAAGATGAAGTCAAACATTGGTTTATACCAAGAAAGGATGTAATTAGTACATATGTTGTTGAAAAAGAACAAGGAGTAGTTACAGATTTCTTATCTTTTTACAATCTTCCAAGTCAAGTGATTAAAAATCCAAAACACACTCATTTAAGAGTATTTATCAATTTCATATATATCTAAAGGCTGCTTACTCATATTATAATGTGGCAACTAAAACACCCATAGTATAATTAATGTATGATGCATTGATTCTAGCAAAAAATGAAGGTTATGATGTATTTAATGCTTTGGATATTATGGAAAATGAAAAGTTTTTGAAAGTATCTTTCTTGATATGGTTAGGAATTAATGTTCTGTCCAGGTGATGGTTAATTGAATTATTATCTTTACAATTGGAAATTAGAGAGTAATATGCTTAAACCAGAAGAAATAGGAATTGTTCTTGTATGAGTTATTAAATAATATAAAAATATAAAATTCAATGAGTGATACATATAGAGGTGATATTGAAAGAATTTAAAGATTAATCTAATAATTAAGATCAGACATATAGAAAAGAGAATAAAAGATTAATGCTAATTAACCTGTAGGAATGATTGATGGTGAAATTAGAGGAGGAATTTCTAAATTAGGTATATAGATTTTAATTATATATTTAAAGATAGAGAAATAGAATTGTTAAAATCATTAATAGAAAGACAAAGTTAAAATTAAGAAATATTATAGAAAGAAGGAGAAACAAGAAAAAATAAATTATTGGAATTGTAGAATGTAGCTGCGGAATTAAAATAAAGTTTTGACAAATCTTTAAAATCTTAATAAGATTAATTATTTAATAATAGGTCAAATGGGGGTAAATAATATAAGGATACAGAAGCATTATAATAAATGGATAACAAATAATTACATTAAAATTAAAAATAATTATAAAAAGAATAAGATTAGAAACTTGATGTATGTATTGATTAATTGGATACTTTAAAAGTATAAGGTAAAAATATTGGAAATACATTGGATGAATAAAATAGATTACTTAATTAAATTGACAAAGATATGGATAAAACAACTAAGGATATGATGAATGTAAATGGAAAATTGAAAAAGTTTTTAAATTCATCATCCTATTGTTGTTTATATCTATTTATAGCATTAGAAGTAGTTTCATTAGTATTGATAATTCTTTTCGTATGAATATATAATAATTAAATTATATATCTTAATTAATCTAATATTATTATATATATTAATCTTTAATATATTCTTTTATTTAATTTATTATTAAAATTTTGATAAACTTAAAATGAAATAACTCAAAATTTATATTATTTTATTAAAAAATCGTTTTTACAAATGAATAAGTCGTTCTTATTCTTATATGCAATAATTTGCTTGTCAGTTGCAGTTAATATGTAAATTTGAATTGTTGATTATAAGCCAAAATGAATAAAAATTCTTAGAACCTGAAAAAAAGAAGGTAATTCATATTCAATTACAAGAAAGAGAAACCAAGGTTTAAGATAAATAAAACTTTTATAAACTAGTTGCTATGCATTAAGATAAATTAGGTGAATCATCCTTTGTCTAAACATAACAATCAGGTCCTCAATATATGAGAATGCATAATTACAAAAATATTTAATATACTGCTGATTTAGGAATAGGATAACCTGGAAATACATTTAAAGTTGTTTTAGACACAGGAAGTGCTAATTTATGGATTGATTCAACTAGATGTTAAGAGGAAGGCTGTATGAGACATAAATAATATAATCATGAGGATAGTCAATCGTTTTTACCTTTGAATTAAGAATTAAACGTTGAATTTGGAAGTGGTGATTTAAAAGGAGTTGTTAATGCTGATACTGTTTATTTTGGTGATGTTACATTACCAAGATAGAATATGGCAGAGATTACAAGTGAAAACGGAGCAATTTTTAGAGATCTTGATTTTGATGGTATACTTGGTTTAGCTTATCCAAAAATGGCACCAAAGAATTTTAATCCAGTTTTTGATAATCTTATGGATTAGAGAGTTTTAGAGAGAAACTAATTCTCATTTTATTTTGCTAAAGATGCAAACGATATTGCTCATAGTGAATTTACTTTAGGAGGTTATAACCCAGCTCATGTTGATGGAGATATTCATTATCATGATGTTATAGATAAATATTATTGGATGATTAAAGCTGATAATATTTTAGTTGATAACAAAGATATTGGTTTATGTCATGGATCATGTAGACTTATTGTTGATACTGGAACATCAATCATGAGTGGACCATTTGATGATTTAGGAACTTTATTGAGAACTTTAAATGTTAAATCTCATTGTCATGAAATCAATACATTACCTACAATTACATTTAAGATTGATGATGTTGATTATACATTGGAACCTGAAGAATATGTTAAACCAACTAATTTTGATGCTGCTTAATTGACAGAGGTTAATGAAGGTGATGATTTATGTAATATCTAATTTAATTCTTTTAGAAGCATTGATTGAAGTTAATAATTGGGATTGTATAGCAGCATTTATGCCTTTAGATATTTAATAACCTTAAGGACCTGCTTGGATATTAGGAGATGTATTCCTTAGAAAATATTACAGTATATATGATAGAGACAATGATTAAGTTGGTTTTGCAAAAGCTAAAAAATGATTTATAAATACATTAAATTAAAATTTGTTTAGTAATATACTAAGTATTAAATATCCATATGAGTTCTCCAGTAACAAATCCATTGTTTGAATTTCAATGGTTAAGGAATAAAAACACATACAAATATCGAGCTGTTTGTTAAGAATTATAGACTTAGCTAGATCCATCTTAACTCATTAAATATGCAACAATTATATTAAAGAGAGATCCTTCTGATAGATTTGAAGAAGAATTATTATTGATTATGAAGGCAACTGAAAATTTACAGTTTTTCAAGGAAATGAATTCCAAATAAAAAAATATAGACAATCGACTTCACACTTAATGTTGTTAAAAAATGACATATAAAGCATTTTAATAAGGTGAAACAGTATTTAAATAGGGTGATAAAGGTGAAAATGCTTTTATAATATTAAGTGGAAGTGTTAATATATATTCCTAATTAGATCAATATGTAGTTAATGATTTATCATACAAAAGTAGAAAAAAGTTTGAAAATTGTACATAATAATAAAAAAGAATTCATCCAATATCTGTTATTAATTAAGCTAAAAGAGAGAAGATGAAAAATAAGTTTTCAACTTCAGTTGGAATGATGAAGAAACTGAAAAGACAAAATTCTAAATAAGTAGAAGATGAATAATTTCATTCAATAAAATTACTTTAAACTTAACATATTATTGAAGAAGTAAAGATTGAAGAAGAAAAAGATAAAAAGATTTTAGAAATTTAATAATAAATGGGTTTAGAAATGACAGCTGGTATTCCACCATCAAAATTAGATATTGATTATTTTTTTATTGATGGTGTATTTAAACATAAGTTTGTAATAGAATTAATGGAAGGATAGATGTTTGGAGAATTGGCACTTATTTGGAATCAACCAAGATCTGCCACTGTTGTTGCTAAATCTAATTTAGAATTAGCTGTTTTAACTTCTTAAGATTATAAATCATTATTAAAAGATGCAGAACTTAATAAAATTGAATAAAGAATTAAATTTTTTTAGAATTATTTTTTTAGAGAATGTCCAAGATTTGTAACTTTAAGATATTGTTATAACTTTAAAAAGATAGAACTAAGAAAAGGAAATTATTTAATAAAAAAAGGTGATAAAGTGACTTAAATTTATTTAATTAAAAAAGGAGAATTAGAAGTTATACATGAGTAAGAGATAATCAATTAAGTTTCAGAAGAATAATAATCTGAATTGGCATCATCTGAATAATAATTATTACTTGCTATTAAATAGACTTAAATGAAACCTCTTAAGAAAATGATTTAATAAAGAAGAGTTATTATTTTAAGTGAGGGTGAAATTATTGGTGATATTGAAATTATGCTCAAAATACCTGTATCTTAACAAACTATTATTGTAAAAAGTGAAAAGGCAAAGATTTATGGATTATAAATGAGTCATTTTAATAGAATTCTAAGTGATCAAACTACTTTAAAGAAATACTTTTATGATTAAGCTAATATGAAATATTAACATAACATAAATTTAATTAAATAGGTTGATAAATTTCATTAATCTTAGTATGAAAAAGTTAAATTAAATTAACAACTTTATTTACTTAAATTAAAAAATGAGAGTGATAAATAATAACCATCAAATTTAAATAATATTATTGAAGAATCAGATGAATCATAATTAGGATAATCAAAATAAAAAATTATATCTATTCATGATTATGTACAAGAATATCCTATAAAAATAGAAAGACCTATAATTAATTAAAAATAAAATAATGCATTTCCCTCTCTTAAACTTAATTTATCAAATAGTCCTTTATTTGGATCTATGACCAGTAGAATTGACTCTAAAACTAAAGACATTGAAGAAGATTATGAACTTTAAGTTGCCAGTTTAAAAGGAGTATTAAATAAAATAAAATTTTAAGTAAATCATAAGTCATCATAAAAAATTCTTAGATAAAAAAAAACAAGTGAATAAGATTTTAGAAAGTAAGTTTAAATAATGTAGTAAAATAATGATGAAATTAAAAAGTATGATCGTAAACATGTAGATTTAGTTCCTGAAAATGAAAAAATTAAAATTAAAAGATAACATGAAGCTAGTGAAATGATTCGTTAAGAAATGGGTTCATAATCTTTACATCTCAAAAAATTTATTGAATATTAATTAATGAAAACAGAAATGAGTTAAAGAATGTCTAAATCAATCTATCAATCTGAAAGATTAATTGGTAATAACACACCTATTTCAGATGGTTAATTTTTTAATTGCTTTTCAAATTCTTGCAAAAGAACAGAAAATCGAATACTTACTGAATCTATTTAATCTCCTTCACCTATTACTTAATCTGAATATAAAACTCAAAATTTTTCAACATCGATATGTGTTTCTAAATAACCTTAATAATAAAAACCAGTTTTCATTAAAAGTGAACATAATTTATTTAGAATGAAACCACAATCTCGATTACTGTAAGTAAGATACTCGAATCATAGTGTAGGTAATTGAAAATTGAATATTAATTCAAAGTATTTACTAACCTTTATTGTTAATTATTTATCAATAAAATATATTAAATAATTGGTAGTAATATTATATCTTAGTGATTAAAAATTAAATTTTTTAATATAATCTGAAATATTAAATGGTGATAAAAAAGTAATGAGAAGTTTAATTATATTAAATTTCTCTATTCCTATATTTAATTATTTAATATTTACTATTTTGTTTTCTTTTCAACATATTCGTAAGTTTTCATTCTTCAAATCAAAATAATTTAAATCAATTTTATTATTAGGCTTTAAATAATCAAAAAGGAATTATCATATAACAAAGATATGAATTATATTTTGAGATGGTAGTATTAAGAGTGAATTTAATTATTTTCATTATTATAATCAAATTAAAGATAGTATTTAAAATATAGGTATGAATGGAATAGAATATTAGAATAGTATATATATTTTAATTTAATTTATGTTTTGTATGTAGCATAGATTTAATACGTAAAAATATTTTATAATAGTATATAGAATTTATATTATTTTATATTGAATTAATTGAGATAATAGATTAATTTAATTGATAATAATTAATTGATTTAATAATAAAATTAACAAATATTCAATGAGTAATGAAGAAAAGAGTTAATAAAATGAATAACCATAAAAAAGGTAAAGAAGACCAAGATAACATACTAATGAAGAAGAATCTAATTAATTTTGGAAAAATAATTAATATTTTACTTAAGGTTAAATTGATGATGATGATGATGATGATTCAGAGGAATATTATCCATAATAATCATCATCTGTATCTGAAGAAATTTCACATGAAAATGATGCATGTGACTATATAGATTCTTTGGATTAATGGTAAGATTGTTCAGATTCAAAAGAGTAATTAAAATAGTAGTAAGAATCACCATCCAAAAGTATTATAAAACTTATGAGAAAAAATTTAGAGTAATTCTCTACTATGAGAGGATTGCATACATAAGTTGATATAGCTACATTATCTAGACTAGGTGAAACATCTTATGTTTATTATAATGAAGAATAGAAATTTAAAAATGAATTTTAAGATGTTTTAAATAGATATTACAAATCTATTCCCTATTCTAAGTAACGTAGAGGTGATGATGATCAAATTAAATGTAAAACAGAATTTCATGGTGATTTATTTGATTTCGAAGATAAAAGATATTTTATTGATAGTGAAATTTAATAATTGTAAAGAATATTGAAATTATACAAAACACAAAAGTTTGATTCTTATCTTGCTTATAGAAAATTAACAAGAGATTAAAATTTAGACTTTGAATAATCAATTAAAAAATAATTAGAATTATTAAGATAAAAGAAAAAATAGATAGAAGCTTAATTAGAAGAAGAAAAAAGATGTTTCTATTTATCTATAGATTAATAATACATTTTAAAATTAAAAGAATACACTAAATGTTTGACTCCTAGATATATTCAAAGTTAAAGTAATTTAAAATATGATTAAATGTTATAAAATGAGAATCTATCCTTCTAAATATATCCATATGAAAAATAACCTTAATGGCTCCTTTAATATCAAGAAACATTTAATATCTTTAAAAAGAAATTTTAATAACTTTAAGCACCTCTCTATTTTTATAGTTTTCAAGATGCAAATGCTTTAAAGATAGCTTCTCATTTTATTTTGAAATCTATAAAATAATTGGAAGAAGTATCCAAAAATAAATTAATTGCAAAAATATTTATTGATTTAATAAATGCTCTCTTTAATATTGATATTCCTGAAGTAGATCTTCTATTCAATACTGAACTTTTAAATGAAGAAATTATAAATATATTAACTTCCTAAGAAAAATAAATACAATTTGATTAGCCAGAATAATATAAGCCATTTCCAACACCTGATGATCCAGGAGATGAAACAAAAACTAAATTAAAGTTTTATCCAAATTTTAAAACTGAGGAATATGCACTTTATGGAAGACCTGTATTTGAATTTTCAATGAGATTTTTGTATGAAATTTATTTCAGAATATAAAGAATAACCTAAATATCTACTAAAATAACTTATAAAAATAAAGAATATGTAATTGGTAATTTAATAATGGAATGTTGTTATAAGTATTTAGAAGATGAAATTTCATATGCAGCTTGGCTTACAATTTGTAAATCAATATTTAATGAAAAGGATTCTATTGAAATATAATCTCTAATTTAATTTGTGTAAATGTTTCGAAGATTATTTTATTAATATGATGAATGGACAATAGAATTATTAATAAATTGGATTTATAAAATATTAGGGGATGATAGTAAAATTTTGAATGATGATGTTTAAATATCAAATATTAGTATACAAGATATCTTATTAAAATTAAAAAATAATTCAGAATTATCAAATGCAAAGATGGCAAGAATATAGACAGTAGATGGTTTGATGATCATTCATGTATTTGAATTTACATAATTATATTGAAAAATAAAATTTATATATTTTTTAACAATAATTTTTAATATTAATTTAATTTGTTAACTATTCAAATATCATATGCTTAACCAATCAAAATTTTCTCCAGTATCTCTATTATGATTATATATTAGGTCAATTAATCAAGATATCAAAAATCAAATGATAATATTGGTTTTAGTACATTTTAAGTCACTACATAAATGAATAAACGTCAATTGGCAGAATTCAGAAAGGAGGTTAGAAATGATATTTTACATCGTGAACCATTCATTGAACCTCAAGAAAAACCTAATCTTTATTTAGGAAGTTGGGGAAAACCTGATAGACCAACACTGTAATAAATGTTAATATTTAGTGAACCATTAAGTTAAAGAAGAACAACAAATAACAAAATTCCTGGTGGATTAAATTTTGATGAAATATTGTAACATATATTTATATTAATTAGTAGTCCAAAACGATTTGAACCTTAATCAAAAGCAGTTGCTTTAAGTAAATTATACTAAGCTGAAAAAGTCCCTTAGAAATAGTATAAAATTGATTCATTATTTGATAACTCCTTTTTTAAACCTTAAAGAGTGAATAATTTAGGATCTGGATATAAAGAATCTCCATTAAAATCATAATAAAAATTAGAAAGATTTAAGAGTTGGGATACTAATTTAGATGTTCAATTGAAACTTTAAAATAAGGCAATTACCAATAAAGTTCTTGGAGAATAACCAGGATTTTATAAATATATTAATGAAGCAAAATAAGGACTATTTGATTAACATTATACTCCTACACTTACAGTGAAAAACAAAAGCAATTTTAGGGATCTTAAATAATTCTCAGATATTTACAATATTACTCCAAGATAAAATTAATCACGTCATTTATCTCCTTAGTTTACAAATATTGAAAAGATTCCATTAACAGATATTGTTAAAATGACTTCACATTTTTCTTCATTATCCTCATAAGAGATAAAGAAGGTTTCTTCTGGATATTTTTAAGAACTTATTAATTTATAACAGTCCTTATAAAGAATGATTAGGATGGGAACGAACAATTATTGAATTATCAAATATTACTACTATTTATTTAAAAAAGTTGATATTATCATAATTATTGACTTTTTTATTGTATCTCTTATGATTTAGAAAGCAAAGTTTCTTAGCTTTACACTCCATATTACACAAATGGTCCATTTATGTAATACTAAGGAATAAATTGCATAGGGATTTATGGTGTTAAAAAATACATCATTTTATAAGGTTAGACTGTATTATAAATTAATGGATAAGGAGCATAGCAGCTTTGAGAAAGATTCAAACTCTCTTATAATTGATCCAATTTTCCAACTTAATCTTAATCTGCTTCTTATTTAACTTAACTTTAGTTATTTGAGAGTTCTTCTTTTATTATTTATTCATTCTGTAAAACCCCTAAATCATCTTATTCTTGTAATTAACCTATATTAATCAATTATATTTACTAAAATTTAGTTTATTATTCATTTGTTTATTTTCTTCAATTGTAGTCACTTATAACCTAACTTTTTCTATATCCAATTATTATTCATTATCTTTATTAGTATTTTATATTTTTTATTCATCCTATTCAATATTTACCAATTTCTTATTATAAAAATAAAAATAATACTGTAAATCTTTTTCGAATTTTTGATTTCTCTATTTTCCTTTTTACTATTGACTTTTACTTACTATTTTGATTTTCCTCTTGGTTAAACTTTTATAATTCATTATTTGGCTATGGAATCACATAATATGGATTCTCAATATTAAAATAACGCTTTCGAATATATGAATAATATCTGTTTTTTATTATGTTTTCCTAAAAATAACTATTTATAATTTATACAGGTCTTCCTTATAATAATTTAGATATCTTGCACCATTTTGATCCAAAGCTTTTATATCCTTCTACTATAATCATATCTTCTTCTTTTGTAAAAGGTTCTTAATTTATCTCTGGATTTAATTTATTTACAAATCTTTCCCTAACTTGCTTACTAGTACGATTAGGTATACATTTGGCTATTTAAACCCAATTTTTCTTATGTGCTTGTACTAATTTCAATAGTAGCTAGTCTTCCTTATTGGTCCATGGTTTGCGAATATTATACTTAATAATATACATAACATATATACATTATATGGCTTGATTCTTTTCCATCTCTAAGCACATTAAGAAGGATTTCGATTTTGTAATTATTAAGCTACCAATAACCAATTGGTGCTGTGTATTTTTATAGCCTATTTGAGTTAATTGTCTTCTTTGAGTGACCAAGCTCTTCTAGTTTGACTACCATTTTTTTAAAGTTCATTGTTATCACATATATTCAAATGTCCTTCATTTACAGTAGGTTTATTATCTTGTTCAAAAGATTGGGCGTGGTCCATTATATTTATTTAATATTAATTCAAAAATCAATCAGCACAATCTCTGCTTACAAAATTTACAAAAAGACATGAAAATATTATATATTTCTATAAGATTGCTAACTATAAAAATATTAAAATTACTACTTCTAGTTAATATAGTTCTAATTATTTTTAAAATAGGTTAATAATAGTAAAGTTAAAAGAGTAATGTAAATTTTAGACCAAACTCTTTTCTTAATTGTTCAACTGAAGAGAAATCTATAGCAAAATCATCTTAATGAAAGTATCTTTTATTTAATGTAAAGTATTTACCTTGAATATTAAATAAGGTTATTAATAATAAAATTATGTAATCAGTTATTTACTAATATATATTGTCATATAATACTTAACTATTAAACAAATTAAAATAACTAATGTTAATTTTATCTATGGATTGAATCATTATTAAAAATTTTTGAATGATTTCAATTATCTAACTTATGAAAATATGTTTCTAGTATTTAAAAACATAATATACTTCATTATAATTTAAATACTGATTGTAGCATTAAATGAATTTTAGTAATAACACTTTATTTTGTCATTATCAAATTTTAAGTAATGAAAGTGGATTAATAAAATAAATTTTCAAACTCATCATCTAAATTAAGTTAACTTTATTATAAATTCCATTTTTAGATAGCTAAGCATTAATTAATCCTTTCTTTTTCTTTTTTAAATAAGAAATAATGTAGAATAAGTACATTTATTTAATATAATTTATAATAATGACGTTATTTATACAATGCTAGTATATTAGATTTAATATGAATGAAATACCAAATGTAAATATAGAAATTTAAAGTATTTATTAAACATTTGAGGATACTTATTGTATGAATTAAGTTGTGATTAATAGTATAAAAATATAATTATGTTAATATATTATTCATATATTAATTAAATATATGGCTGCAATTTCAACATTGAGATTCATTGGTAAATTTATATTTTCACATTCCAATTACAAGGATCCAAAATATGGATAGCTTTTACATCCATTATTTTGTTTTGTGATAAGCTCATTAAGTTATATGTATGGAAGCATAAAATTGGAAAATAATTAAAAAGAACAAATTGAAGATGTAATTTAATTTTTAAATTAGTTTTAAGAATCATAAACATCAAGAAATTTAATTGCATTAGGATTCCTATTTTATGTTTTGCTTATTGTAATAGCTAGATTTGGTTAAGCAAAATTCACAATATTTTATGAATTAATGTGGGCTTGTAATTTGAGTTTAATTAGTTCTGCATATGCATTTTGGAAGTATTATTGATTTATAATTAGAAATAAACCTTTAATATTGGCTGCTAGTATGATATTAGTATCAATTGATTAAGTTTTATGGTATGTAGATTTATTGGCATTTGCTTTATTTAGAATATGGCCAATTGGAGTTGCAAAGTATTTGAATAATTATAATAAATATAGATATTTGACATGGCCATCAACTACAAAATTGAGATTATTAACCTCTTTTCATCATATATTTTATTTACCACTTTGTTTATATTTTTTAAGAAATTAGAAAGGAATTCCAATATCAGCATGGTAAATAAGTATAGGGATGGGTACAATTTTAACAATAGTATCAAGGTATGTTGTATCTATAATAAATTTTAGATTATTGACACCTAAATCAATAATGTTGAAAGGACAGAAAGAAGAAATATATTTGAATTTAAATTTATCAAGACAATTATGGAAAGATATTCCTTTTAAAATCTTAACTATAGTTGATGATAAACCATGGTATTTAGCATTACCTTTTTTGAGTTTTATGTGGAATTCTGGTAATTTTATTCTTGGATATGAATTATTAAACAGAATATCAAAGTATTTGAATTAATGATGAATTAAATGATTTGTAAATTTTTATTAAATTTTATATAATATTTAGAAATCCAGATAATATTTGTCTATTATTAATTATGATTTTTTGATAAATTGAACCATAATTTATAAAAGAGAAATGATGAGTGATTCAGATTCAGATGATTATGAAGTAAATAATTTCATTTAATCATTTAATAATAAATAAAGAAAAGAAGGAATAGATAATTTTAATCCTTATAAATAGAATGGTTCTATGTTAGATGATAAATATGGAAAATAATATTAGAATATATAAGATAAATTCAATCCTAAATATCCATTAATGAATGGAAAAGATTTTGATCATAGAATTGAAAAAAAGAAAATTAATTCTTATTGGACTATTGGTGAAGATGTTCTTTTATTATAATTGGTTGAACGCTTTAAAACAGAAGATTGGAAACTCATATCAGATAAAATAAAAACCAAAGATCATATTGAATGTTCAAGAAGGTATACTATGATTAGAGAACCAGAAGAATTTGAAGATGAAGAAGAAGAAGTAGATCTAACATGGACACCAAAAGAAGATTCTCTTTTAATTTTTACATATCGTAAACATAAAGGAAACTGGATTAAGATTTAGTAAAGATTTCCACATAGAGATAGACCATCACTTTAAAAAAGATGGTCTGAAATAGCATATATATAATAATAAGCACCTACTATATTTTGGGATATTGAAAGAGATACTCGAATTATTTCTAATTTTTTGAATTCTGCAAAATTTAATGATATTGCTTCTGATTTAAGTATTAAAGAGGAATCAATTGAAAATAGATTTCATTTCATAATAGCCAAATTAAGTGGTTAACTAGAAAAAAGAGGAGTTAAAGTAGAATTACCTAAAAAGGTTTTAGATTCCATTTAATTTCCTGAAACTTAAGGATAATTAACAATACAAACAAAATAATAAACTGTAGATATTCCTAATGATCAACATTAATAAAATGATAAATTTACTATTGATGATATTTTGAATGATTAAAAACATTAAGAATTAAATGGTGGAATAAATAGTAAAATAGAAAATTAAACTAAATTTGAATTGCCTATTTAATAAACATAAATTTTAACTCATATCAATGATTAAATTAAATTGAATGATGAATAAATAACATAAAATAATCATTAAGATACTTAATAAACATAAGAAGAATAGAAATTAGGAGAATAGAAAGAAAGATTATTAATAAATGAAACTCTTTTAATGATAAAAAAAAGCTTAGAATAATAGAATTAACACTTTGATTCCTTATATGATATTAAAGATCTATTATTATAAAATGTATTATGATTGAAACTTATTCATTTTGTTCTATTATATATTTAATATCAAAAATAATTATACTAAATTTATTAATTAATATTTTTTTTGAAAGTTTTATTTTAATTTTTCAATATTAAAATTATATAAAATGTGGAACTTCACACCTGTTAGTAAAATATGTTAAGTTAAATCCTAAATAAAGGTATTAAATATTAATAAATATTTAGTCTTATGATTAGCATTTATATAGTGTTAGAAATGCAAAATCTATAGTTAAAACTAATAGTCCTTTTAAACCTTATTTTTTATCAGTTTGTTCTAGACATTAAAATAAATATGAGTATGCTTTATTATTATTTATTTATGATTTAGAGGTAAAAAGATATAAATAAATGCAATTCTATACTAATTAGCAAGATTGTGAATATTGATTTAAAATAAGGAGAATTAAATAAATCAAAAATGAAATAGAAATTTAAATTAAATTCTAGCAGATTATCAACAAAAAGAAGTTAAAATTTATCTATAGATTTCGAAAACATTGTAATTATTTATAATCATTAAAGAAACTTTATGATAGAATATAATCAGCTAAAACTTCATATAATAAACAGTAATAACTAAGGCATAGTTTTGAATATGAAAGATATAGTAGAAATATTTCTTAAAATGCTAGTATTTATTATTTATTATTTAAATTTAGGAAGGTATTCAAATGCTAATATTTCAAAATAAATATTATCAAAGTCATTTGAATCAAAATCAAGAAGAGTTAAAGATAGATCCTCTTCCAATACTAATTAATATCAATATTCAGATTAAAGTAGTTGTCATCCTGATAATTAAATTATTTAATTTTAATTTTGATTTATAAATACAACATTATATCATATAGATCTTGAAAGATAATATGAAAAATAAATTTTGATTTACATATAGAGTAATTAGAATATTAAATGAAATAAATCCTTATTCAAAAAAGAAAAACTATTATATGAATTAGATTGTTTAGATTTATAATTAAAAATTAATAAAATTAAGTTCTCTTAATCTAATAAAATGCATAAGAATTTAAATAAATCTATATTCAAAATTAAAAAGCTAATAATTTCTTGATACACCATAATCTACAACTACCATCTTGATTTTCATCATAAAAATTAAGTAGTATATGAATCTTTATTTATATTATCTATTTATCTGTAAATGAACTAGAAAGAATTTGAGATATTGTTTCAAAGGTATCAAAAGTACAACAAAATTATTCATTTTTACCATTAAATTTCAATTATATTTGTAGTTCTAATTATTTTAATGAATATACTTTATTCCTCTTTTATTGAAGATATTTATGAAAGATCCGAATGATTAATTTCACATTAATTCTCTGTTTCTAATTCTGCTTCACTAATATGTTATTCTTGAATCAATTAATTTGATTATTCTTATATTTATACATCTTTTATTTAAGTTTATTCAATATTCATTTATTATTAAACAATTTTAGCCTAGATTTCATTAGTTATAGTATTTTCTTATTTTTATTTTTATTTTTCAACTTTTTTAGGGATTTTAGTAATTTTTTTCTTAGAATGTAATTTATTAGAAATAGTAATTGTTGGTTTATAATTATTTTCAAGAGATTTAATACTAAAATAGATTTTTTTTGTTTAAAAGTAAATATACTTAATGATAATTAGTAACTACAAATAAATTTGTATTATATTTAGTGTTTTTGGTAGTAGATAGCTACATTAATTATTAATTTACTTGAAATTTTACATTATAACTGATAATCCAAAGAATAATGAAGTAATTATATTAAGTTTATTCTTCCAATCTATTAAGAATAATATTAATATTCCAACTGTTAAATTTATCAACTAGATTGATATCAGAATTAAATACTTGATTAGTGGGTATTATTGAGGTTAGTTAAGGATGTTACATCATCAAGTTAGAATCATTAAATTCAAAGGGTTGATTTTCATATATTTGTAATAGTGAATTCAAAGTGAGCATTTAAACAACGATTCTACTGGATGAGTGAGACATTAATTAAATAATATAAGTATTGAGAACCAATTATTAGAAAATTGAGATTTATCTGAATTAATTCAATAAAATGATAAATTAAAGAGTTTGTTAACATGAACACGAACCCCCATCAAATCATTGTTTAATTTAAAAATCCTATATAATATTGTTTTTTTATATATGCATCAAAAATTTAGTATTATAAACAAAAAGTATAATATATTTCCATATCTATTAAAAATTGATTAAGATGCTAATTTAGCACAAGGTTAATTATTTGGCCAATAAACATCATCAATTAGTACTAATTAATCAACATCTCCTTAATTTCTCTGCTAAACTTCTATCCATTTGCTTAATGTTTAGGATATAGTTTTCCCTGATTTCTCAGGTATTGACCAATTAATAGAAAACGAGGCAGAATTCAGAAAAAGGCTATAAACAAATTTTAATAAAAATCTAAGAATACCAATTAGAGATACAACTTGGAGCAAATGATCCCATTTTTTTATTAGATGATGTTTTACTTTTAATTGTTGATTAAAATTAAGTATAAGCATAGTCAATATAGTCTTTTTCAATTGTTGAACAGTAATTTAAGGTCATATCTTTAATGCATTCTATTTTTAAATAATCTTAAAGAAATCCAAAATCATACAAAGATTAAATTATAAAGACAGGTTTAGTAATATAGTTTAACAAATTTTAAAAATAAAAACACTTCCAACTTTAATTTGGATAATTTCTAGCACAACTATTAATAGGAACATCTGTTTCAATATTAACAACATAGTTCATTATTTTTAATGATTATTTTAACAATTCACTACCATCTATGGATTACATATCAATAAGTATTCCAGAATCTGCAATACAAAGTAAAGAAACACTATTTGGTATTATTTAACTAATATATTATGACCATTATAAAGCAGCTACTGCACCAATTGAACATCCTGATAAAATTATTACTTCAGAATTTTATAATTGTGTACTGTACTCTGCAATAATACTTCTGATAATTAATTCACCACGAAAATAGATATTCTTTTATTCATAATCAATAGCATCTTATCTATAGCCTTAATGACCTAGAAATAATCAACAAACTTTCTTAACCAGTCCCATCGCAAGAATTTATATATATGATGTTCCAATTATAAAAGTTGATATTTTAACTTTAATTTTAGGATAATAAACCATCGAAATCTTATGACAAAGCTCTATTCAATGAACTTCCATATAATGTCCCCTATCTTTATAAGAGTAAAAATTTACTTTAGAATCGCATTTCTAAAATATTCTTCTTCACTGCTACCTAATATTAGACTATATTAAATAAATATGTTAATACTCTCCTCCTTCAAAATGAATCAAAAACTTATTTTTGCCTTCCTTGTATCCTTTCTGAAAATAATACGACTTAAATATATAATAAAAGCCTTACACCTAGTGATCCATCTAGACATACTGCTTGATCATCATTTACATATTCTAATTCAAGCTAATAACAGCAATACAGTAACATTACACCTATGATAAACATTAATTAATTTAATTAAATTATATGCATAATTTATTTATCTGATTATTGTATCTTTAAAATAGCTTTACAATCTTTAAGTATCATACTCATATTTAGATTAATCTTTCAGTCAATTTAAAGACATTCTTAAGAGATAAAGTTACCAACTATTCATAAAATAATTGGCTTCTACTGTTTGTTTTCAATCTAAAGTATCTAAACTTAAAATTATAAATAACTTATAATAAAGTTAAAAGCCTTATGTAAATGAGTATTCTTTTAACATTTTTACATCAAAATTTAAAGATAATAATTTTATTTAATAATTACAATGAATTAATTTAGTGTTCACAGAATAAAATTCCATCTAAGATATTTCAATAATTTTAGTTGATATTAAAGTATTCAACTTTCAATTTTATTATCATAGTTAGAATAACATTCATATATATAAATTTATCTTTTCATTTTATTCATATATCTATCAATATATTATAATTTAAAAAATGGAAATATTTATCAAAGTACATATTTAATAATTATTATTACGAAAAAAGAGGGATTTTTATCTTAATTGTATATCTTTATAATTTTAAATAAGAGAAGATAATGATATTATAATATTATAATAAATTATAATTCAACAATCCATTTATATCAGAGTTGATCTTAAGAAGGATTAATTGTATTCATTTTGAACTATACTTTTTATATGATTTAATTATATAATGGTTTTTTAAGTTTTCAATTAATTCAGGTTTTAATACATAAATTTTCTTATTTTAATATTTTAAGTAATCTATTGTTTAGAAAAATAAGATGAATATGATTGTTATCTGATGGAAATAGAGATGAGAATATCAAATTTAGAATCAGAATATCAAAATATAAAATTGATATCTCATGTTTCTAATAGTGTATTTAAACTGTTATTTGAATATATATAAGTGATAAAACTTTTAATTATGATGAATAAGCATAGCTAGCAATAACAATTAAATTTGCAATTTTTAATGTACATAATTCATCCAATCATCTTAATCTTCTAGCTTCTCTTTCACATTCCATAAGCTCTAAGGTGTCTCCTTTTCTAACTGGACCCATAACATTCCTAATTAATGTTCTTTATTATCCAACCAATTAAACTTTAACTTATGTAATACCACCTCTAGATCCTATACAATTTATTATAAATTTTATTACCTGTTCTTCCAATAATTTCAATAACAGTTGCTCTAGTTCCTTCAACTCTTTCTTTAGTGGAATCCATTGTTTTGTTTGTTAATTTTTAATTAAATGATTTTAGAATTTATGAACAAATCCATTCATTATATATATATATATATATTAATTATATAAATAAAGAGTTCATGATGGATGGATAATTGAAAGAATATGTTATATTAAAAATAAAGAGTAAATTTCTAATTATTTTTCTTATATTTTTAATGAGACTTGCAGTCTTATATTTTAAGATTTAATTTATTAAATAAATGTCAGAAGAAGCTTCACTGTCTCCGCTTGATTTTTATGAACTTAAACATGTTAGAACTATAAAAATTAATACATAAGCTGAAAGGATTCAAAAGAAAAGAACTCTATTGTATTAAAATAGAGAAATGTTAGAAAAGGAATATCAAATATTGAATCAAAGTTGTAATTGTTCTGAATGTGGGAAAGGCACTAAATATTTCGAAATGATAAAAAAACAATATCCTTTCAATGAATCAAGGTATTAGTATATAAAATTGAAGATGGCAGAAACGAAAAAGAATATTAAAGAGATTCAAAGCTGTAATTAATGCAATAATCTTCATTCTAACCTATAAAATGGAAGCAATTAAAAAATTCAGGAAGAGAATGCATCTTCTAAGGGCTGTTCGAAATTTGACAACTTTAAGAAAACCATAATCAGTTGTTCCAGCTCATTTATAACCATAACCTGTCCTTCTGTTACCTTAATCACATCAATCACAAAGGTAAAATAATCATTAAATGCTTAAAGGTTAAAAACTGCACCTGATAATCATGATGCTTTTGGTCATTAAATTTTAAGTCATGGAAGAGAGTCAAGAAAAAGTCATATATCCTAATATATGACAAAAATGTTAAAAGATACAAATCCTAAATTAGAAGTGTTTCTTAAACCTTTGAGTATTGTAAATCGTAAGTCATTTCAATCAACAAATGGAAAATCGATAACTTAAACTTCATTTTCACCTCATACTCACTGCCATTTTTAATCTAGTTTAATATCATAAAGTCATTTTCATAAAGACTCAAATAAACAAACTAACAAGGATTATTATAAAATGAATAATAGAGATCTTGTAAAACTTATAGATTCGATGAAAGTTAAACATAGATTTATTAAATGTAAAAAATGATTATAAGATAAAAATATTTGTTTGTTGATTTTCGTATAATTTAATATGTAGATTCTTTCCTACATCTAATAGTTAAAGTTTTCATCATACTGAAATTATTGATAATTAATTAAATAATTATAATTATAAACTTAAAATTTATTATTTAATAGTAATTTTCTCATTTAAGAAATTGTAATTGAAAAATAGAATAATTAAAATAATCATATCTAAATACCAATCTCAGGTTTTATAATTCCATCATAAAAACAAAAATATTATAATTTTAAAGTGTTTTTATTCAAATTTTCATTATAATCCTATTTAGTTTCTACTAGTCTTTATATACTCAATTAGGATTACCATATACATTACCATGGGTTATTTAATATAGTTTTTTAAAAGATTTTATCTTAACTTATAAATTCTACTTATTTATACTATTATATTACAATCTTAAGTTTAATTATAACTAGTGTAATTTTCTCTCATTTTTGCAATTGATGAGATTACTACTTAAATACCTTTTTTTTCTTTTAATAAAGCTAAAAGCTATTAAAGTTCTTATAATTAATTTTCAATAACATTCATTTATGCTGTTTGATATAATAGAGAACTTAATCCATCTATTATTAATAAGTTATAATCTATTAATTATAGATGAATTATTACGTTATTCTTGACTTTCTACTAGAATAGAAAGTAAAATAAATAATTCTTTTGGTTATTTCATTTTGATAACTTTAAATTTAGAGTTTGAATATTCCTCATGAATACTGATATAGAGAATTTAAATGTTATTTTGAGACATAGTTTCAGCCATGTCTCTTAATATTTGGGATTTAAAACTTAATGAAGGTCCAATTATTTCTAGACTCCAAGCAGTTGGTTTTAAGTATTCATTTAATTATTTAAACTTTGTGAATTCTAATTAAATAGGTTATACAGGATTCTAGATTTAATTGATTTCTAGATTCTTTTTCTTTGTAACTAGATGATATAAATAATCTTTCTCTTAATATAAGATATCTGATGTTTATGTATCCAGAAAAAGCTTTTTATCAAAAAGAGCTAGTTGTTAATCTAATTTTAATGCCATAATATTACAATTTGAAGCCCCAATTCTATTTAATATAGATTCTAGGGTTTAGAAATTAAATGCATCTTAATCCATTAATTATTAACGAATTTATTTCGTAAAAAATGGATCAAGTTTGTCAATTATATAGAAATCAAACCAGAAACAAAGAATCACTTTCATATAGAAGAATTAATTCTCCTGGACTTCCTAATTCATCTTTAAGATCAAGTTGTAAAGGAGATAAAAAAAGATTAGAAATTGGATTGATTACAGATAGAAAATTAAGTGAAAGTCCAAATTTCGATAGGATGTTTTCAACTGGAAACTTTAAAATTTAATAGTAAAAGAATAGCATAATTGACATTCCATAACCTTAATCTCAAGTTCCAAAAATGGAACCTCCTGTAAAGAGAAATTTGAGAATGATTGAAAAATTGGAATCAGATAAACTTTGTTTAAAAATATATGTATCTGAAGAAGATTAAAATTAATTAATATTTACAGGGATTAGTAAAGAGAAATTATAATCACCTAAACAAAATAAAAAGGCATTAATTAAAAATTTGTAATAGCTATTTTAGAAAGGTATCAAAGATTAAAATAAATACATTAAATTAGAATCTTTAGAGAAGCAAGTAAACCTTGAAAATCAATAATATTATGGACTATTAAAAAACAATAATAATGAATCTAGCAAAAGAATAATAACATAAAATAATGAAAGCAAATCAAATTTAGATAAATCTCTATCCATTTCAACCATATAAGAATATAAATCTAATACATCCAGTAAAATTAACAAAGACTTAGAGATATTAGAAAATGGATTAAACAAATAAAAAAATTATTAATAAACTTATTCAAATTCTAAGTTTTAAAAGTCATAACCATTAGGAACATATAATTTAACTATAAATTTAAAACAAAAATAGAAAGATTGTAAAATTTCATCTTAAAATAAAAAGGGACCGTCACCTTCTTTCTCTTAATAACGAAATTCCCAATAAAAATGTATAAATAAAATGAAATCAAATGCCAAATCATTACATGTATGAGTGTCACTCTTGATAGAATGAAGTTCATTTTTCAATCATTAATATAATTCTAATTTATATTTAATCATAATTATTTAAATGAAAAATAACTTTTTTGTATTATTAATAAATCAAAATCTAACTATTCATCTTAAAAATTATAAACTCATTGAATTATATAAATCTCTATAAAAAATTGTTCTTTTTTATATTATACCTATAAATTCTTTGATGTTTCATAAATTGATTTATAGATGATTGTTTTTTTGCATCTTTTTTAACAAAAATTTTAATAAAGGTTCTTTACTCAAATAATCAATAAATACTTTAGATTGTTTGATTAATATTGTCTTCATTTTTCTTTTCAATAAAAGAAATCTCCCCAGTGCACAGTTCAGAAGCCTATATGATGATAAACCATATCTACTATTTTTAATAAAGAATAGGTAATATTAATGTTATTATTCATGTTTTATCATTTTTCAAATATAAAAGATATCAATATTATTAGATTTAACATTTAAAATATTTTGAAATATAAATAATAACAATTAATTTAAAATTAGAAAGATCCATAAAATTTATTTTTAGTTCTACCCACTATGGTTATGAAACTAAATATCATTTTTTTTTGAATGTTATTTAAATTTTACTACAGATATGAATACATTTTAATATATTATACATTTTCATGTTTTCACCAATTCAGGTTTCACTTTTTTCTTAAAAGTTATTTCATTAATAATAGAATATCTAAGAGGATCTTAATCGAATGATTAAAACCATTCAGATATATCTTCTGTTTCTACTCTGTAACATGAACCTAATTAAATACTATAGTTGATCAAACTTCTCCATCTTTCATTACATGATATTTTATAGATATCACATACAACTATTAAGGATTATCTGCATCTTGATAAACTTACATTCATTCTTCTTGCATCACTCAGAAATCCTACTCCTTTTTTTGGATTTTTTACATTTTCACTAATAAACTTGGATCTAACACTTGAGAAAATAATAACATCTTTTTCTCTTCCTTAAAATCCATCGACAGTTTTAACTTCAACATTATCTTCATTCAATTTTTTTAATTATTTATTAATTAACCATACTTACTGACTATAAGGACTAACAATTCCTAAATTATTCATATTGAAATTAGGAAATTTATTTTTCATATCCTTATATAGTTCTGAAACTACTTTGGCTTCCATTTCATTGCAATAAGAATTTCTAGTAAAATTCTCATAACCTTTAACATGTAAAATAACAACAGGACTATATGTATAATAATCATAAAATTTTGGTGTTCCTATTAATCGTTCCAAATGTTCATAATCATTTAATTCACTTCCATAAAATGTTGTTGATATGAATTTAGAGATTTTAGCATGCATACGATATTAAGTCTATAATATAATATATATAATACTTTTAGTAAATGAACATTTGCTCCTTGTTTTTATAACCTTTCAAATAAACTTTAATCATATTTATATTTTCCACAAATAGAACTAAAAATAGTTGCAGGTAATTAATTAGGATCACCTATTAATATTAATCTTCTGCATCCATATTATAAAGGTATTAATGTTGATATTTCTACAGCTTATGCTGCTTCATCAATTATGACTGTGTCAAATTTCAATTCAGATTATGCAAGTACATTAGAACCACTTGATGAAAGAGTTCCAAAAATTACTTTGGCTTAATTTAAAATTTCTTTTTTAACTTTGTCTGTATCTTAATTTTATTATTCATAAATTCTTTATTAAACTAAACATTCTAATGAAACTTTTGATAAGGTAGGATCAAAATTTTCACCTATTCTTACTATTGGTACATCAGATCTCTAACCATTCTCATCTAAAAGTCCTTCCTCTAAAACCTTTCTTATTATTTCATCTACAGAAGCATTTGAAGGACCACATACTAAAATCTTATTAGGAATTTTAGCTTAAGAATAATCACTTTTGTAAATTGGTGTTGGTTTCTCTTTTTAGAAATCTGAAAGTCTATTTGTAAAATAATTTGATATATCTTATTCTACATCATCAAAGATATGATCTCTCCAATCATCATAATTTGACGATTTCCAAGGTTAAGGAAATTCTTGATTATATTCTTATTCTACTTCTAAACTTGTTTTTTATACTAAATTTAAATCAGGTCTTTCTTATTTAGATTGTAATAACACACTTAGAGTACCAAGAACAGTTTTAGTTTTACCTGTCCCTGGAGGTCCTTAAATTAAAGTGATTCCATGTGTTTTTAATGTTTACTATATTGCTTCATATTAACTTGAATTATAAATAGAATGCAATTTCTAATCAAGTTTATATGGGATAGTGAAATATGAATTCACTTTTGGTTAAGTATCTAATGATAAAAGAATTGATTTAAGCATCAAATCACCAAATTTATGAAGAGCTCTAAATTCTCTTTCTAATGTAGATAAACCAGTTACTTTTCTAATAAAAAAGTTTTTGAGGGATTTTTAATTAGGATTTTACTAATTTATTATCATATTTTTTTCAAATAGAGCTCCTATAGGTTCAAAATTATTCTAAACATTTACTCTAACAATATCTTAATTATTTTCTATAAGACCCAATAAACATTAATCACCTTATTAATAAGGAGTGCATGATATTAAGACTAGATCTCTAAAATTTAATTGATCTTTTTATCCAATTAGTTAGAAATCTAATTTGGTGAATTCATCTTTTTTATGTTTTTCAAACTTATATTCTACATCAGGATATGTCTAAAATATAATGATTATAAAATACTTCAGTTTAGAATGATTTAACAATATTTGCTTTAACTTCTTCATAAAAAAGTGGTTTCCAAATTTTTTAATATTCATTTTCATCACCAAATGATATAGGTACTTTACATAAAAAATCAGACTCAATTTATTCATCTTTTGGCACTTCTAGTTAATTAATTTTTGATTATTCTAATATTTTATTGAAATCTAGTTCTAAAATAAAATGCTAAAATTTATGCAAATCCATTAATATTAAATAAATTATTTCTTTCTTTATATTATTAATTCTTTAGGAAATTAAATAAAATAGTAATATATATTTTAGAACTCATATATATATATATTTAACTATTCTCATTAATAATTAGATATTGTTTTATATCTAAAATAATATTTATTCAATTTTTGAATAATATATATGATAATAATGAATTTGTTATTTTAATGAAAGTTATTAATATTTTTGCTTAATAAATTTTATAAATGGGCAATTGTTAATGTAGAAAATACTTTGATTCAGACTAAGGGTCCTACAATAATAATAATCTTTAAGAGATAATCATAAATGATGAATTTAATAATAATAGGAATGAAGATTGTGTAAAAGAATTGTTCATTAAAATAAAAACATGGCAACAAGAATCTTTCTCTTTATTTGATTATGAGAATTAGAGTCACTTAAAGGAATAAAATATTGAGGTATGTGGATTCATAATAATAAGATAAGATAAGGAGGCTATTTAATAAAAAATAATAACGAAGTACAATGGATTGATGATGACGTTGATTGGAATAAATGTGTAATCAAATAACATCAAATACTATTCAGAATTGAAAAAATAAATGGAATATTTACAATAATAAATAAAAGGGGAGAATGCAAATAACAATTAGAAGATGATAAACAAGAACTAACAACAAAATATATTGGAGAAGGAAATAGAGATTTTTAATAATCTGAAAACTTGGATTAATTAGAAGGTGAAGAATTTCAATAATCTTAAGAATTAATAAAAAAAATAGATTAACATAATTACAGATTAAATCAAAGCTAAAGAACTAATACTAAATTATCAGAGAAAGGTAGTAGATTATGGTTAGTAGTTAGATCTATCTAATCTATGTTTATTAATAGCGGAATAAAATTAAAATAAGGTGATGTGATTAAATTGGGAAGAGTTAAATTTAAAATTAGGGAAATTCAGTTAAATTAAAGGAAGTTATTGTATATTATTAATTTATTTAATAATCTAGATGTGAATTAGATTCATCTAGATCTAGCTAATCTGATATTATATCATGTAGAATATGTTGTAGTAGTTAAGATAGTGTATAGAATCCTTTAATAAATCCATGTAAATGTACAGGATCCATCAAATATATTCATCTTAATTGTTTAAAAAAATGGTTAAAATTGAAATTTTAAACTAAACATAGTAATCATTGTATGATTTACATGTGGAAAAATTTAGAATGTGAAATATGTAAATTTAATTATCCTCCAATATTTAAAAGTGATGAACATATTGTTGATTTGATTGAATTAAGTAAACCCACAGATTAACCTTATGTGTTAATGGAAATTATTTAAAAACGATAAGTAATTATTATTATAGAAATATTTAAGGATTTGAGAGTTGATAAAATAAATTAAGATTCTTCTTGGTCTTAATGTAATGGAGTTTATATAGTTACATTTGATAATAATAGTAATGATAAATTAGCTAAAACCAATGAATTATAAATTGGAAGAGCTAATGAAACTGAAATTAGAATTAATGATATTTCTGTAAGTAGAAATCATGGAACTCTTAAATTAAATGATGGAAATGTTTATTTAACTGATAATAGATCAAAATTTGGATCTTTGATGTTAATTTAATAAAAAGTGATACCATTAATAAATGAATTGAATGGAATTGAAATCTAAGTTGGTAGAAGTGTATTGTAATTTAATCTTGGAAAACATGAATTAAAAGCACAACCTTCAAAATAATATTTAAATTCTGATATATTTGAGTAATAAATTTGATTCTAATAGAAGCAAAATTATAGGAAGAGACTTAGAAGATGAAGATTTACTTTATTATTAATGACCTTTTTTATTTTTTTTCAATTTTACAATAACATATATTATTCATTTCTTAAATAAACTCTTAAAATCTTAATTAGATTTTGGTTTAAAATCTTATACTTCTTCTATTTCAATTTATTCTTCTTTTTTTTTCATCATTCTTTTCTCTTTTTTCTAAATCTCCAATCTTCTACCTTTAAATTCAATACCATTTAAATCTAAAGCCAATTTTAAATGTTTTTATTTCTCAAATTCAACAAAAGCAAATCCTTTAGGTTTTCCTTATTCATTTTTTGGAATCTCTATTTATGTTATATTCATTCCATCAAAAATTTATCTAACTTAAAATTAATACTAAATATTTACTTTCAATTTCTCTAACTTTAAAAGGTAAATTTTTAATAATAATAGAATTATTCTAATGATTTTATTTAATTTTTTCAAGAGAATCTGAAAGCTTTACAAAATATCTTCTTCCATCTATATAAGGATCTTTATTTAGAAATTCTAATCCATTTTATTTATCTTATTCTTCATTATATTCAATATATGCATATCCTCTAGGCTTTCCTTAAGAATCTTTCACTATTCTAATTTATTTAACTCCCTCTCCAGCCTTCTTTGCTAATTATTATTCAGTAATGCTATATGGTAAATTATCTATATAAAGTGTTAACTTATCATCTTAATATAATTTTGGAGGTTTAGATATTGCAGCATATAATTTTTCTCCACCAACCATTTTATTATTAAGTATATTAACTGCTTATTGAGCATCTTCATCATTTGTAAAATCTACATAGGCAAAACCTTTTGAAACTTAATTTTTGTCTTTTACTATTCTACATTCCAATGCCCCACAATTAGGAATCAAAGCAATTACTTCATTTGCTGATAATTCTTTTGGCAAAAACTTAATAAAAATAGTCTTTGAACTGTCTGTAAATACTTTTGGGGCCTTTTCTTCTTCATTTTATTCTTTACTTTATTTTCTATTATTTTTCTATCCTTTCTTTTCTTCTAATTATTCTTCTTATTCTTCTTCTTCTTTTTATATTAATTCATCATTATCTTCTATAGTTTCTATAACATTTTATAATCTTTCTTCTGCTTTCTAAACTTCTTCAACATTACCAAATAATGTTTCAAAGTTAAGTAAGTCTTCTGATGCTGTAATATTATCTTCCAAACATAATTCAACAGCTCTCTTTAATATACCTCTTAATCTATCTCTTTATTAAATATTAATTATTGGTAAACTAATTTAAGAATAATAATAATCTTTCCAATAAGAATTATTATCCCAAACCAATTATACACATTTTTCAAATGCTGCTCTTGAATTTAATTTATTATCAAATAAATAACATTCTACTTTTGCTAATTCATTATAAATTTTAGCTTTTTATTAATCAGAATATGATTTCTTTTCAGCTAATTAATTGAATAATTCTCTAATTGTTGTCTATCTTTCATCTAATTTATCTGTCAAATTTAAGTATTATCTAGTATATCTATAAATAAATTCAAGAGAAAATTTAAATAAATCTTCATTTTAAACATAATTTTATGCAAATAAAAAATCTTACTCAAATTCTTCATCATCTTTATTTAATTATTCAAGAGTTCTTAAATATAAAATATATATATGAAAAGGTTAAACTTAAAATCTAATTAAATTCTTGAGTTATTTCTATAAAACATGAGGATTCTATTGTTATCTTAAAATTTCAATAAATTTATCTTGTAGAATACTCAAAATAGAATCACTTTATTAAAAGTTCTCTGACTACCAGTTTAAGTAAAAAAATTTTTCATAAAAATTTATGAATTTTGGGAATTCAATTAATTTTTCATCTAATACAGATTCTAATTGTTTAAAAAAGTCAATAATTTCTTATTAATCTTAACTATTGCAAACATTCTTGAATTTCAATTCTAAATTTTCCAATTATTAGATCTTTTAAATTGTGTTATGATAATTTTTTTATACTTTATCTAAATTTTATTTATTTGTTTCCAATTATTCATATTAAAGCCAGAATTTATCTAAACCTTACATAGAAATTTTAAATAATCTTTAATAGATTTGATTTATTTAATTTTTCACTTATATTCTAATATAAATTATTCAATAATAAATACTTTTCTTTTTCATTTCCTCCTTCTAGTAATTAATTTTCAAAATTAAGATAAGATTAAAAAAAGTATTAAGCTTCTTCAAAATCAAAACAAAATTGTACTAAAAGCTTTTCAAATAAAAGTTCTCCTTTTTTCCTTTGAAATTTGTTTTTAATAACATAAGATGCCAATTCTTTTCCTAATTTAATATCTCTATTTAATTATATATATTATACAATAAAGATTATCTAGTCCTTTTTAAAATATTTTCAATAGAGTAGAAGCATCAACAAATTATTCTTCCAATTTAGATAATAATTCAATTAAGAAATCTTCATTTAGATTATGATGTTCTTAAACTAATAGAATGCAATCACTTAGTTTATCATCATTATTATCTAAAGCTTATTTTAATAAATCAAATGTTGTTTGTTATTCCCTAATGTTTGCTTTTATTGAATTATATATATCAGATGCTTCTATCATTGAATTAAATTAAATTTATTAATTATATAATAGCAAATTCAATATTATCAACAAATTTACATTTAGATATCAATTAATACAATCAAGAGATTTCGCAATAATACTTTCTATTTTAGTCTAATCACCAATCAAATTTTAAAGATATTCTATTTATCCTGTTTATTTTCTATCTTTTAAAGAACCTTTAATTTGGAACTCTTTTTAATCAGCTTCATTTAAAATAACCTCTGTAATTTTTATTTATAATTCTATTTGATTTTCCAATATCTCATTTTACCCTTAAGTATATAAATATTAATACTATTCATAAAGGCATTGAAATTTTCATTCCAAATAAATGATTTTTCATTTATTTCATCTTCTGGTATTAAAACATTGAATATATTAAAAATCTAAACAATGATATGTGATTTAAATTATTGAACTAATTTACCTTTGACTAAGGAACCTAAAATATAATTAATCTATTTACCTTAATGTAATTGTAATAATGTTACTGTATATTCAATATCTATAAACATTTATGGTTGATCATCAAAAGTTTCTAAATATTCTGATACTAGGCTAACTTTTTTAACTGCAATGACAATGCTCTAAATTAATTACATAATTACTGGAATTGAATTATGTATTCTGCATGTAAAAATCATCTTTGGAATTACATTTTATATTGATTTTTAAATATTTTTGAGATGATACGGCATCAAAACTATTGTGGTTTATTCTTTAAAACTAGTTAATTGCAAATTATCCATAATTATTCTTTAATTAATTTACTTTCTTAAATTGGAATACAAAATATTAGCAATTCACTATAAGAATCAATTTAGTCTTAAGAATGTAATTAGTTATCAATATAATATATTTATTCTAATTAGAGTATAATATTATTTATATTTATTACTCATTAATCAAAAGTTCTACAAAACCTTAAATAATTGTCAATTCAATTTCAAAAATAGTAATTAACAAAGGAAGTTTATTATATCTATATTAATATATAAAAGGCTAAAGAACTACATATATTCAAATTATTAATAAAATAACATAAATAATTCGTTAATTATGAATACTCTAAATAGTATGACAAATCCTTATAACATGCCTTCGACACCTTATGGTGGAATTTTAGATGCAGATGGATGCAGAATGCTTGCTCGAAAGATACTCTCAACATATGATCGTACTAAATAATTTAATGATCTCAATAGTTAGTAATAAAGGATATATTGATGTTGTCGACATTGGATCTATGTTTACTGATACATATAGATCATAAAATATTGTTACAAAACCTAAAGTTAATGAAACTAATGGATTTATGAAAGCAATTAACAGTAAATTTATTATCATATTCTTATAACTTAGAAACTTCTTAAAATCGATTAACTTTGTAGGATATTGAATAATATTGTTTAAAAAAGTTTTGTGGTACTCCATATCATTTCAAGCAATAATAATAAATGAATAAGTAATATTTTCGTATTTAGATAAGATAACCAAATTATATTGAAGAACGTTTAGAAGTAGCTAGAACATTATTTAAAAAACTTGATGCTGATGGTTCAGGTTATATAACAGAGGATGAAGTTTATGAAATTATTAGAGAAACATATAGATAAATGGGTATATATGTATTCAAATTTAGGCATGAAATATGAACCAACACCTGATGATGTGAGAAGTTGGATACAAATGACTGATTCTGATGGAGATGGAAAAGTTACTTTAGAAGATTATGAAAATTTAGTTTTGAAATCTTTACAATAATAAGCTATCTCTTATAATTTAAGTTGATTTTATTATCATATGGATTATTATTATTAATAAATCTTAATTTTTTAATGTAAACTAATTTTATAAGTGATTCAAATCTAATTCATTTAAATCATTTAAAAAGTAAAATAATTAAGGTATTGAAAATTAATAGATAATTAAAATAAAAATGAATTATTACTTTCATTAAAAATTCTAGGAATTATATTTTTAGTAACAAATTAACTAATGATGTTTTTGAATTGAAGTTATTATATTAATCAATTTATAAAGAAAATTAAATTATTATAGTAAATATAATTTTCCATTCTTCATAGGTATTTATTTTTTCATTAAATTATTTATTAATTAAACTCTCTTCTATCTTTTTTATATATATGAGAAGAGATTTAAATAATTCTTAAAATTAGTAAACATTAGAAAACATACAACCAATAGGAACTATGTAATATTCATTATATTAATCAAAGATTTAGATATGAATAAGCCTATGAGTTATTGAGTTAAGCATTGCTTTCAAATTCTATCTATGCAATTGCTGTATTAATTTTAAGTTTTGAATTTGCATTCGATGGAAATATGTTATATGTGATCTATTGCATATATTCAAAATTATTCTTATAAATTCTCCATCAAATATACTTTTATAGAGCATTTGCTAATATTAATATGTAAGAGCACATTATATTTTTTAAAGAAAATACAATCAAGCCATAATGAGATTATTGTCACTATTTTTTGAAGGATGCTATGTATTAACAATAAATATGTATATAATCACTAGAACAAATGAGTTATTGTTATTTTCAAACATATTCCCTGTTATAAATATCTTTATTTCATTAATAGTTAAGATTAATGAGGGAAATTAGTATTTTAAAGAATCAGTACAATAAATCAATTTGTTTTATGTATTTAGAAATATTTGTATTTTGCTAATATCTATATTTTTCAGTTTAAAAATAGAGGGATATTTTGATATTTAATGGTTATACACATTATGGATGCTTTGGCTATTATTTAGTCTCTCAGCATCAATTGTTATATATTACATATTTGTTGTATTGGCATTATGTATTCAAGTTATTTTAGAATAAAGCAGTCGTTAAAAATACTTGGGTTTATTATTATAAATTATAATTAGTCATAACAAATGTATGGATATTAATATTCATGATATCTTGTTCCTCTATGTTTTTTATGATACCAATATCAGTGTTAAATTATAATTATGGAAATTATTAATTAGCTATTGAAGTAAATAGAATAATCTTAATTGCCAACTAAATTATTATAACTTATTTTACTGTAAAATTTAAATCAGAATTGATATCAGCATTATAAATGTACTTATCTCTTAATGATTCTGTAAATCCTCTCCATACTTTGGCTACTTAATAAGTAGATGCTTAACTTTAACAATTTAATAAATAAGGTTTTATAGAGAGTTAAGTTTCGGAAAAATAAATGTAAATACCAAAAGTAGTTAAAAGAATTTCGAAAACATATTTTGGATTCGATGATTTTAATTCAGATAAAAAATAAGATTCTAAAGTTTTAGAATAAACTAAAAAACCCACTCATTAAAGAGCTTTATCATCTCAAATTGAAAAAAACACAGAATAAATCAATGAAAAAATTAAACTTGCATCAATGATGAATTTTTAAATTATTGAAAATGAAAATTTAAATGAATTAAAAGGAACTTCAATTTTGTAAGATAAATAAATAGTATAATTTAATTCTAATTACTTAGTAAAATTAACCTAGATCAATTTCATTATCATCTATTAATTAATGTTGTATTTGTTTTGATAATGATCCAGATGCCCTATTTATGTAATGTGGACATGGTGGAGTATGTTATCATTGTGCTTTAGATATGTGGAAAAATAAGGATGAATGTTATTTATGCAGGAAGGTATTATGATAATTTATAATAAAAATAGAAAATTGAACGAGTGTTATAGATTTAAGTTTGTGAAAATGAAAAGAATATATATTAAGTAGTTGGAGCTACAGAATTGAATTCAAAATTGAAAAAAAGACATAAAATTAGTTAATAACATGATTAATGATGAGGTTACTATTAAAAATTATTAATTTGAATCAATTTCTTTTTTTCTTTCCAGTTCCTGCTCTTATATGTTTTTCTGCTATATCTCTAAGTTGAGCTTTGGAAAATTGCTATTCTGATAATTCAGTATCCTTAAATTTATCAACTAAAATAAATAAGATTAAATTATTACGTATTCTTTATAATAATTCATCATTTGGATTATCTCCTTGATTATTTCCATCATCTATTTTAGTAAAATTAGATTATTTAGCCTAATTTAATAATAATATTAATACATCTTTCTTCATAAAATTATGACGAGGATTTTATGCAATATCTTACATTTGTAAAATATCATTCGTTCTTATTTCAATAACACCCAATACTTTTAATAGTTTATCTTCATCCATTTCTTTAAAACTCTTATTATATAGAAATTTAAATTTACAAATTTAGGTCCTAATAATTAACTGTATTCCTTTAAATTGCAGCCAATACGTTCAAACATAATTGGAATACTAATCATTAACTCTTTAAGAATCTTAGATATTTCATATAATTTCTCTTATAATTTCTCTTATTTTGCTTTGATTTTTACTAATTTTTCTTCAAATTATAATTTCTATTTATATTTTTAATCTGCCATAATTTTTTAATCTCTATTTTCTAATTCTTATTTTTCTATTAATAATAATTTATTTTATTTTTAAAGCATTTCTAATTCATCAGATTATTCATAAATATATTTAAAAGCTCCATAATTTTATTCTTCTTATTCAACAAAAATATTAACAATTTCATCTATTTATTCTGATTTTGTTTAATTATATAATTATTTTAAAGTTTAATCATAAGTTTAAACTTCTGATTATAAATCAACTAAAGCTTATTATTCTTATTAATTTTATTATGCTTTTTATTCTCTTTCTAATATTTTTTTCTTTTTCTTATCAGCTGTTTCATTAATATGTAATATTTCATATTTTAAATCTTCAGCATCTGCATCTTCTTCAGATCCACTATATCTTTCATAACTATCACTTTTAAGTTTCTTTTTTTTATAATTATCAGTTTCTTTTTTACCTCTACTTTTCTCTCTTGATTTAGATTAATGTTCAGGAGATTTTGATTCTTTAAATTTATCATAAATGCTTTTAAATTCTTTACCAAATTTTCTTTATTCTTAAGCTTCATTCCATCTTAATGATTTAATAGTATTCATTTCTTAATGTAAACTTTAAAATGCTTTTTCTTATTCTTAACTTCTTTCAAGCATTTTTTCATGATGAGCTATCCAATCTTCTTATAATTATTTAAGAATTTTTTTAAACATTTCCTTTTCCCTTCTCATTTTATTTATATCATTTTTAAGTTAAACTGTTTCATTTAGCATTTCATTCTCTTTTTAATATAAATAAGCTAGATTAAATTAAATGTCTATTTATTATTTAAATAATACTTTAAGGTTGTCTTCTCATTTTCAATTTTTTATCCATTTATGAATTTTATTGGTTTTATTTTTGATTTTTATTTTCTCCCCATCTACTACCTCTCTCTTACTCATAAATTTGTCTTCTCTTCTTCTCTATTTCATTTTCTTTCATTTGAATTTATTCCTTTAATTCATCTCTCTTTGCATGCAAAGTTTAGAGTTACTTATTTAGACTGGCTTCTTCTTCCTATTAATTTGTAATCTTAGTAAATGTTTATGCTTTTATATCCTTCTCTTGACTTGATCGAAAACTACTATATATATATTAAATTACGCATTCCCAGCAGTCTAAGTCCTTTTAAGATAAGCAACTTTATTCATCTATATTAATTAATTTAATAATTATTTATATAAACATTTCTTAAACAACAATCAACAATATCAATATCAAAAATCACTCTTTAGAAAAGAACCAAACTCCATCACCTTTATGTTCAACTCCTACTAAACTAGCACTTTAATAAAGAGAAGTCAATAGAGGTTTCTCATCATTATGATAAAGGTCTCCAATTGCTTTTTTGAAATATAGATTAGCTTCCTAAAATTAATTACCTTTTATATATACATTAGCATGATAATGTGGTAATTCACTAAATACATGATGTAAGACATGAGTTGTTCCAATCTCAAAATGTAAAGAATCAATCCAAGCTGGATAATTTCTATCTATTGTACTCAAGGCACCTAATAGATATTATATTTATTATTATTACCCTTTAACCAATTCCAAGAAGTTGAATCATAATGTGGAATATTAATATCTGTGTGTTATAAAAATGTAATAATTGTCAACCACATATTAACTACTAAATATGGACCTATATAAAGTGCCATTACTTCAGCAAATGATGTTGCTTATGCCCACTTATATAAACCAAATATCACAAAACAAAGACCTATATTTGAGAGTGATACCTTCAATAACATTCTTGAAGGGAATAATTTGTTTGGAACTATAAAATGACTTGTAAATCCTCTTGAAGGACCTCCTGTTACACCTAAAAGTAAATAAAGAGGCCATCCAAGAACTGTTACATTGAATATTTAAACAATTGAAAAAGACTCAATTCCTATGATATCTTTTGTTTTTTAGTAAATTTTTCCCATTTTTGAGTTTAATACTACTGGGCAAAAAGTTTCACCTTCTGTAAGATGATTTGTTTTTGCATGATGTAATGCATGGGAATGTTACCAAGAGAAATATGGAACCAACAATATTTCATGTAAGAAATATCCTAAAATATCATTCCACAATTTATTGTCTGAAAATGCTTAATGACCACATTCATGTCCTAAAACCCCTATTTATCATAGATTTAATATATTTTACATATTCCCATAGCAACTGTACCTAGTAAAAAGTCAAATACAATCCATATTGGAAGAGCATACCAAGTTAAAGGAATATATCTATAACCAATATATGCCAAAAGAGCAGTGGTTGATATTGCTTAAGCAACTGATACTAAAAATCTAGATTCACTTTTTTTAAATAATGATTCAGGTATAGCTTTACGAATTTCTAAATTAATATAAGAATTACATGCTAAGTTTATCTACTCTTGACCCTTAATCATAAATCCAAGTTTTAATTTAATTTAAATTCTGATTATTATTTAATTCCTAAAAATAACTAAATTTCAATGAAATTTACGAATTTACAATCATAATTAATATTATAAAATAAATAACTGGTGTTATTTACAATTGTTCAAAATAATTTAGATAAATTTATCATCTTTTCTTATCTCACTTATTGGATTCTTTTAAATTGAAAATATTAAATAATTAAACAAAATATATATTATTCTAATCCTCACAATAATAATATTAGAGGTTATAAGAACATATATATATAATATATAAACAATACAAATAAAGGAAAGAATAAATTTAATATTTTTATATAATTTTGTTATTTCTATTATGAATGAGAGATTGAAAAAAATTGTTATGCAATTTTCTCCTTAATCTGGATAAATAAAGTAAGTTGCTAAGAAAGTAATTCTTTATTTTGGATGCCTTTTTTTAGTTGTCAATTTTGTTTAGTGGAAACTACTTTATCTACCTAGTATTGATGGATAATTCTCTCAAAATAATTATCATTAGTTTAGATCTCCCTAAGAAAGGTATATCTTACATTTCATATTAATAAATAGAAATTTACCCTTCGAAGATATAGAAATCTAACATGATGGTATAATATTGAAAGGATGGTTTATAAAATAATAAAATTATTAAACATCTCCTACAGTTGTATTTTTTCATGAGAATGCTGGAAGTATATTTATTAAATATTATTTAGATATTGGATGGAGATTAGAGTATGCTAATTAATATTATAATCAAGTAAAATGCAATTTTGTTATGGTTGCATATAGAGGTTATAATTATAGTACTGGCACTCCTCATTAAAATGGTATTCAAAAAGATGCTGAAGCTATAACTAATTATGTTTTTAACAATTTAAATATTGATAAAACAAATGTTTATGCACATGGAAGAAGTCTTGGAGGGGCTGTTGCTTCATATGCCTTTTATTAAAGATAAGAAAATGCTAAAAAGACAGGTGTTTTATAATATAAAGGTTTGATTATTGAAAACTCATTCACTAAAGTAGCAGATGTTGTGGCAAATATGAATAGATTGTTTAAAATCTTAGCTCCTTTTATTTTTTTTAATACATGGAAGACCATAGATATAATACCATATATTTTAAACCCAATCTTATTTATTTCATGTATATAATTTATTCAAAGTATAAGCTGGTCGAGATGAAGTTATTCCTCATCAATAAATGTTTTCTTTATCTGAAGCAGCTAAAAGTACAAAATAAAAATTTAATTACCATATTCCTTTAGGAGATCATAATTCAAATTGGAATTATAATCAGATTGAATATTTTACAACTATTAAAAATTTCATAAAATAAACATCTTAACTTTGAAAAATAGAAATGAAATTATATTTTATATAATGTGCAAAATTTAATAAATCATTTTTATTTTTTACTTAACTCACTTATTTAGCTAACTGGTTTATTACTAGTTTAACTTTAATTTATTCTTGATTCAAATTTGAATTTATCCAATTAATCTTTCAATTATTATCTTTCCTTAGCTAATTTCAAAATATCTTCCTTGTGTTCATTAATTTCTTTTTACTTTTCTTTTAATTGATCTTATAATCTATTTTTTTCTTATTTCAAATAATCTTAAAATTATTTCTCTTTTTATAGACTCTATTGTATATCCTCTTATGAGATTAATAACTCTATTAAATAAATTAAACATTTATATAATACCTGTTAATTTTTTTTCCATATTTTAGATTTCCTTATTCTATCTTTAGAGAGTGATTTATAATTTCTAATTATCTTAACTTTACTTTTTTGCTTCTTCTAAGGATGTTTTGTCTTATTCTCTTTCTAATTGAGCCTTTGCTTCATATTCTTCTCTTAATTTATCTTATAATTATTTTATATCTTAAGCACATTCTAATCTAATACTTTAAGCTATATTTTATTTTTCAAATTCAAGTTTTCTTACATAATCTTCTAGATCTCTTAATTTCTTATCTTTATCATTATCAGAACTATTAAAAGATTGAGCCTTTTATATCTTATCATTTGAATTACTTTTATTAATATTATAATATGGTGGTTTATTATTAGGTGTATTGTTATTGGAAGATTTAGAATTATTTAGTTTTTTCAATTTTTCAATAGTGTTTTTTGCTTCTTTTAATTCTTATTATAATTGATTTAATTATTCATTTTAAATGTAATTAGTTTAATCTTATTTTTTACTAGAAGAATTATATTATTTTGTAGAGCTAGCCTAAGAATTGAGTCTTTATGATGGATTATCAGATTTAATAATAGATTATAATTATTGATTTTCTGTTAATAAAGTATTTAATTTAGCTAATAGTTCTTAATTCTTTTATTTAATTTCTTAATTTTCATTTTTTAATACTAAAATTTCTTAGCTTCTTTTAGATGCTAAAATTCCTAATGCTGCATCAGATGACCATTTACCTTCATTTTTTGGTATTTTTTATTTCAAATCTTCAATTTCTTATGAATTATCTTGAATTTATTATTTTAAATTGATATTTTCTTCTTTGATTTTATCTAGTTTACGTAAATCAGTTTCTATTTTTTATATTGTTTTAACCAATTTCTAATTTTCATCAATCAATTTTTAAATTTAAGAATCCTTTTAATTTTGAATTTAAGTAGAAGTATTCTGTTAATTTTTGTATTTTTATTTTTCCTTATTCATTTCTATGTTTTAATCATTAAGTTAATCTGTTAATTTTTAATTTGTTAATTCAAGATGTCTTACAGTATTTTCTAAATCATTTATTTTTTAAGTTAATAACTTTTAATTAGCAGAAGCTTTTGAAAGATCTGAAACTTCTTGAGATGTTCTACATGGACTTTGATTTACTTTATTCATCCTTAAATATATTGAAATAAAAATTTTATTAAATTATTCACAACAATTAATGAATTATCTATTTTAATTTCTGGTTTTCTTCAATGATTTAATTGATTTGAGGATCAATCACATTCTATGGTGGTTAGGTTGTAAAATTAAATGATAATTTAAATTTTTAGATTCTCTTTTTGCAAATCATAAATTAATTAGTTGTATACTTAGCTTTCTTTAATGGTTTAGTCTATAATAATCGTTTAGATTTAAACAGAATCTATTCTTCACTTTGTAATTGATGTTCTTAAGGTCTTTTAATAATATAGAGTTTTTGAGCTTGAAGTGTAACTATCTTTCTAGAGAGAGTAGTTTAATTGCCATCAACTTACCAAATGAAAATCTAACCATCATCAGAATTACTAGTAATATAATTATGACCATCTTCAAAAAATAATTTAACACTTTTAATTTCACTTAAATGACCAATAAGTAATTTTCTTTTATTTATTTATGTTGTAGGTTGAATTGTATAATTAATTGATTATTGATTGTATTTAATTTAATAAATATTCTTATTTACACATCCTACATAAGCATAATCAAGATCAATGTCTAATGTTAAAGGTTCTGAATCTAATTATGTTTAAAATATTCTATTGATTTAGATGATTTATACATTTATGTTGTGGCAATATCAAATATGATCAATTCTTTATCTTTAGAAATAGTAGCAAGTACATTTTTGAGTACAAAATCATTAATTGGAGAATTATTTCCTGTAAAAACTTTAAAAGGTTTTGTTTTTAACAATACAATATCATCCATAAGAAATAAATTAACATCTAATTATTATAGTATTTTTTACTATTTTATAAGTCATCCACAACCAGTAAATACTATTAGTAATGATAAACTTTATTAATCTCTTTAGCTACAAAATCTAATGTAGATTTCAATTCTTAAATTTAAGTATATATCCTAAAATCTTTGTTTGCATAAATTATGCCATAAATTGAATGGTATTCAAAAGCAAATACTATGGAAGATTCACCTCCAATATGTTATTTCCATAATTCAAGTCCTTAGTAATCAAAACAAGATAACACATTTTTAGATGAAAAAATCAGAATACTTTGATTGGAGAAACATATTGTTTTTATATCTGATTCTATTGTTTATAATATAGAGCTAGTCTTAGGATCTAATAGTTTTATAGCATTTGTGGTTTAAACAGCTATCAAATTAGTTGATGCATTAATTGCCATAGAATAATATTGTTTATATATATTTATATGATTTAATGCTAAATCTACATTTATCATTATTGTTATTATCTTTGCAACATTTATGGTGGAATGTTACCCATCATACCTTAAGGTGGTTGAGCGAATGCTGTTTTACCTAATAAATTAACAACTCCTGTTTCAATAGATTTCAATAATTCCATCATATCTGGATCTTGGAATAATTCTAAAGATTTTAATTTATAATACATGGATTTTCTAAATTAGAAATATAATCTTCTTCTTCATAGCTATGTTCTTCAAATATCATATCTCCCATAACCAAATTCAAGACCATAGGTACCAATTATCCAGATTCATATGTAGTTGGTAATTTATCAATCATATTTTTTAAGAAATCTTATTTCTCATTTAATAATTTAATTTAATATCTAATGATTTCTTTGGTAGCATTCATTTAAACTTATTTTTATTTTGGCAACTTATCCTTAATTCTTTAACGAGCTGAAGCTTATAACATAAACACATGTTAACCCAATCCTCTTTCCATCAATAACATTTCACTTTATTCTAATGTTTATTGGGATATATCGATCTTTTTGCAGATTTCTTCTTAAGCCTTCATTAATAGATTTTCAATATCATTAACATAATCCAATAATAATTAAACATATTTGGCTCCATCTGAATATAATACTTCTCTTCTAGCTTTTCTATTCTCTAAAGTAATTCTAATAAATTCAGGTTCTGCTAAATCTACACTACCTTCTACAATTTGAGTATAGGTTTTTATGCTAATCATATTATTTGTGCTTGGAATATGCATTATTTATATTTAAGAAGCAATCTCATTAAGTTTATCACTCTTGAATGTATAATTGGCTATAATATTAACATTTATATTCATACATTTATCATTTCCTTCACTTTTAGGTTAAATTTCTTATGTTTTAGTCTATTCTTAGGATTCCTTTGGTTTAAATACTTCTAATTCTGCTAATTTTTAATCAAGCCATTCATTAGTCTCCTTTATTTTGTCAGTTACTGATAAGTTGTTACCAACCCATGGTAAAACAATACTATTCACCTATCCCTTTATAAGTGAAGGATTCAACAGAATTTCTTCTTTGTCATTCTTGAATGCATATTAAGTAAGTGATTTCAATACAACAGGCTCAAGCTTTTTATCTTTTACCTTTTATGCTAAATCTTTGGCATCATATTATCTTAAATTTTTGATATTAATAAGAAACACTCTTTATAATGAGTCTTTAAGAGTGTAAAGTCTTTCGAATAGCTAATCAAAATGTTTCATAAGGTTAGTCTCTGTTTACTCTACAACTTCCCAGTTAACCCTAATGATTTATATATCATATACATCTTCTCATCACCCAAAGAGGCTAAGACTGTGTCGATATTAGCTGCCAAATCTTCAACTGTAATAGACATTCAACCACAAATTAAATATTTAATTTATATTGCTTCTCCTATTTTTGCCTAAATAATTCATAGTATCTTTATCATTATACTAAAATTATATCCAAATTAAGATCCTATATTAAAGATCTAAATAATATTAATTTTATCATAACATCAATTTAATACATCTAAATTTATAGACTGTGAATTTATACTTAATAATTATAAGCTAGTATATATTATTTTTTAGAAATTTGTAACAATCCTAAATTTTATTATAACAGGTAATTGAATTTGTTAATTATTTTTAAGATTATTAATACATAAACTAACTTAAAATCATATGAATTTTAATGTTAAATGATAAATATATTATGAAAGTTTATAAAAAACTTAGCGATTAATAAAAGTTTTATTGATTAATAAAATCTAGGAATTTAATACTTTATTTATTTAAAATAATATGTCTAATTATAGTCTGATGCTTAAATATATAATTATAGGAGATACAGGTTATTAAATCAATATATAATAGGTGTTGGGAAATCCTGTATAGTTTTACAATTGATTGAAAATTAAATTAGATAAGAACATGATGCAACCATAGGTGTTGAGTTTGGAGCAAAAATAATTAAAGTTAATAGCATGAATATCAAACTTTAAATTTGGGACACAGCAGGATAAGAAAATTTCAGATCGATTATCAGAAGCTATTATAGATCAGCAATTGGTATAGTTTTATTATTATGATGAAGGAGCTTTACTTGTTTATGATATAACAAAAAGAGATTCATTCCATAATTTATAGAGATGGATGGAAGAAATAAAAAATAATGGAAATGCAAATATGGTGATTACATTATGTGGGAATAAAGTTGATTTAGAATCTGAGTAATATTTTCTTATTTTATTTAGAGACGAGCAGTAACATATGAAGAAGGATGGCAATTTGCATAATAGCAATAATTGATATTTCTAGAAACATCAGCAAAATAAGGAATTAATGTACAATCTGCATTTTATTAATCTACATAAAGAATTTTAAATTAAATTGATGATGGTACTATAGTTCTTGGATAAGATGTAAATATACTTTTGATTTCATAGCCAGGAATTAAAATTGGTGGATAATATAAAAAAAAGGAGAAAGATATAAAAAGTATCAACAATTATGAAGAAGCTGTTCAATTAAAGCCTATGGAAACTCCAAATGGTATTAATAACTGTTGTTGATATATATTCTTTATTTATCTATATATATTTTATATATATTCTATATATTAATAATAATATATATTATAAATTATTAATAAAATTAAATTCTAATTTTTAACAATCATAAATCAAATTTTCAACTTTTTACATGCTGATTCACAAGCTTTTTCTTTTGCAACTCTTTCATGTTCATGAGTAAATCTACCCACAATTTAACCATCAATTCTGATTTCATAACAGAATTATCCATTCTCTTGTTTAAAAGATTTAATATCCATATGACCTTATTTACTAGCAGAATATTAATGTACTCTATCAATAACATGATCATCAATATCATTTAAATAAGTGCATACAAAAGGAATAAATTTCAAGTAAACCTTTTTTAAAAATTTACAAACTGGTTACCATCCTCCATCCATAAATATGGCTCCTACAAGGGCTTCAAATGTATCCGATAGTACTTTTGGAACTCTAACAAAATTACCATTATAATATGTAAATTTCTCATCTAATTTAACAGTTTCTATAAATTATAATATAGCAGGATCTTAAAAATTATGCATAATATTGTAACAAATAGCTATTTTTGATAAAAATGAATTTGATAATAAAACCATCTTTATTTTATATAAATTTGTTGGAGTAAATTTAAAGATTATCTAATTAAAACAATTACACATAATATAACATTCCAATACTGCATCACCTATGAGTTCCAACATTTAATGTCCTCTTGTAGAAGGTGTGTTTGAATTTAACAGAAATTTATAATATAATTCTAATGGTAAATCAAGATCCATATTTGAACCTTGTACTCTAAAGGATTCATAAAGAATATATCTATTTTGAAATTAGTATTCAATAACTTCTCTTTATAAATAATTTAGATATTCTATTTAATTCTTTTAGAATTGTTATTTTTCAACTTCTGATAATTATCTGACTGGATTTATTAAATCCTTAAAACTCATATAATTATGCATTATTGGAAATTGATATTACTGAACAATTGGTTTATGAGGATAATATTTCTCTGTTGGTGGATAATAAGAAACAGGATGTCTTAAATGTAAAAGGAATTTATAAACATCATATAGGGAATCTTTATCTAAAAAGACAGTTGCTATAAGTGATTCAAAGATATCTGCTAAAAAAGATACAAGCATAGTTGCTGATACTTATTTTATAGGTTCAGGCTAAATGTGATTTGAATGAATATTTTAAAGTACTGGACTAAACCATTTAGTTTAATGACCAAGTGATCTAACATAATAAAATAATCCAAAATATTAATATTTAAATAGGTGTTTTCCAATAAAATTATTATTCACTATTTATGATCTTTAATCTGATAATATATTTTCATTTGTATTTTAAGGACCTAAGCTGACTGAAAGAGTAGCTAAAAATTTTAATATTGAGTCTCCTAAAGTCTCCAATAATTCATAATTAATATCTCTATTATAAGAAGCTCTACTTATGGCTCTTTATACTCTTAAATTCGGTTCTATTCCTATAGAATTAGCAAATTCACTTATGATAAATTATTATTCAAGTTCTAATAAAAAGGTAGGAAGCATTAAAAAGTTATCATATTGATTAACAGTAAATGGATATCTATATAAATTTGATGTAGGCATTATATGAGTTGATAAAGTATTTAGTTCTAATTTTGGTTTACAAGAATGTATTTTTAAATTTTATGTCTTATTTTCAAGACTATTTACTTAATCCTCAGTATAATATTATACTCTTTATATAGTTGTTACCTATTTAAAAATAGCCAAAGCTGAATCTCTTTAATTGTATTAGTTTTAATAAGATCTCAATTATAAAATAGGATTAATATTTTCTGTTTTAGCTTTGAATTAATGTTCATAAAAAAAATACCCTATTGTTTTATTAAGGATGGATTCATCAATACAGTAATATTCCTTAAGTTATTCTAAAGTAAATTTAGAATTTTAAATGATAAGATTAAAATACTCATCCACAGTTTATTTCCAAGGTTATGCTATTATTGCATAGATGCAATTCACTTACTATGTCTTAGGGATATAATATAAATAATCGGATATTGCTTAATCTTCTAAGTTCATATCTTTTAAACACTCTCCATTAATTAATCCTTCTCTTTATTTTATAAATTCCTACATAAATTCATAATCAATTTAGTCATTTATTAAAGGTACAATTAAATAATTTCTATATCCACCATTTAGGAAATTATGAAAATTTATTGTATGAGCCTTGATATTTTTAGGAGACAGCATATACCAACTCATTTGTAATCTTACATTATAATCAAAAACCCTACTTATTGAAACATAATCAAATAATATTTCTTAATTTACATTTTTTAAAAAGATTTCTGTATATTCTTATTATGGACCATCTATATGATATATTTTAATAGGTCTGTAATTCTAAAGGATTGGTCTTGAAGTCACCAAACCAATATTAGTAGAAAGTATAGATAAATATGCTTTGTCATTCTTATAAGATGCAGTAAAGCAATGAGGAATTTCATATTAGAATGTATTTTTTATAAACCAATTATTGATTTCTTAGCACTCTGATTTCAAATCACTCATTTTTCTAAATTATAATTATCAATCTGGTTTCATTGTCTATATAAGGGAAAAAAAATTGCTTGATTATTATATCAATTTTTAATTATGTGAATATTTTGTATAAAAAAGTAGATTGGAATTCTTTAAAGAACTTCAATGCAATTAATAATTAGTTATTTGAAGTTAAATAACGATTTCTATTTTCAATATTTTGTTAAAAAATTAAAAAATACTCAATATTATTTAGCAACTAGAATAATTTATCATATGATGTTGTAAAAAAAATAAATAGATTAAAAATTAACATTTAAATCATATTCACATAGATACATGATAAATAATCAATCAAACAATGATCCAGGTACATTTGCTCTTCTATTTGTTTATTTAGCTTTCTATTATGATGTTGGCTATTTTGGAATTTCGATCTATTTTTCAAAAAATTATTAGAAATTTGTTTAATTACTAGTTTCAAAATATTCTTCTGCTCCCTAATAATCAAAAAATGGGTTATTTGTTTAAAAATTTTGCTATTAATTCTATTATTAATTATGATTATTCTCTTATTTATGTGCCAATCTTGGATGTGCAAATGTAGCATGATTTTCTTATTTTTAATGATTTTGTTTCTTTGGTGGAGGAGGATGATAAGTATTTTCTTGAATTTCATTCTTGATAATATTTGAGTTTGCTTATTATTAATCTATATGTTCATTTTATTGTCTTTCATGTATAACTTTCTTATCCATGCTATTTGATATTTCATTATTTTAGATTTACTCTTCTTAGTGTTATTAAGATGAATTTTATAATAGTAATTATTACTATTATTATTATTCTTAATGATATTGATATTATTATTATTATTATTATTATTATTATTATTATTATTATTATTATTATTATTATTATTATTATTATTATTATTATTATTATTATTATTATTATTATTATTATTATTTGAAGTGAGGCTAATTATGTATAGCTTATTATTACTCTTATATAGCATGTTAATTAGTTATATTATCAAATTACTAATTCTCCTCTTCCTCATCCTATTAAACTTCTTAATCTTACTAATCCTGCTATTCAAATTATTATTATTCATCTTATGCATCTTATACATCTTAAACCTATATTTAGTTATTTGCAGTTTTCAATTAGGTAGATCCAGAATCAGCATTAACAATTTAACCTTGCAAATTTACATCATCTTCATTGGCCCAATACTATTAGTTTTACTATTAAACATGATGTTAATGTGTAGCAGGAGCTTCAACAACCAAGGTTTGAACGACTTGTTATTAAGTATTAGCTTAAATTTAGGTTGGCTATTAGAATTACTATACTCTAGGTAATTAAGGTGGTTACAATTTTGATAATAAACCTTATAAAATTGTAATTTAGTCATCTAAATTAGATTGGGTTGACTATATTCGATATTTATGAATGATATCCTTTCTTTATTGAGTATTAGAATGCAATTTTTCAATGAAATGTTTTTCATTTTATTTTTCCATTTATTACATTTCTTAGAGTTTTTAAAATTGTTTTCTCTCACTCAAAATTTATTCTTTTAACTAATTAAGTTATTTCAATTAATTTTATTCTTAATTTTATAAAGAAGTTTTCAATAGCTTATTTTCATTTTGAAGTTATTGAATTTATGTTTAATAATTTACATTCTTTGTTTATAAGTCTTAAATCGTTTTAATATGATCTTATTAAAATTGATTAATTGAATGCTGTAGATCCTTATTTTATTTAATTAACTAAGAAATCTATTTTTCATAATAAATATCTCTTTATTTTATCATTTATTCAAATACAGCAACATCAATTTATTAAGTTGATTATTGTTGTAATTAAATATTGAATTTTGGAGTTTAAGAAGTAAGATTTAAGCTTTCAATTAACTCATTTTATTATTTTACTATTTATTCATTTCTTTAATTTTAAGTATCTGTTTAGCTTGATATTATTTATTATGTTTATTCTTATTAATTATGTGAAGAATTCAATTTTTAGTGTTTTATTTATTAATCTTAATTATTTTATTGAACTTGTGTTTCTTCTTCTTTTAATTTTTAATGAGGAACTTCATCTTAATTTTCTATAGATTAAATTTATGAGGAAATTTGCTATTCATTAAATTCTTAATCTTTTAGTTCTTATGAATTATGTATTTACTATTTTATGGTTTCCTGTTAAAAATTGTCGTTTTATTATTTATCTAATTCATTATTAATTTGTTATTCTGGTTCAGTATGATGTATATTCTCTGATGAATCCTAATTATTTTATTTGGTAATGGTATTTTAAAATTACAATATAGGATTATCTTCTTAGTTATCTGTTTAAGAAAAATTAGCATTCTCTATTGGATTATAATTTTCTTGATTTTCAATATTTGATTCTTATGATTCTTCTGACTCTTCTTCTGATCTCAATTATTCTGCTAATTAATTTAATTTCTCTTGATTTTATTTTAAAAAATCAAAATTTGTTAAATCTTCTTCCTCTACATTTTCATTTTATACTTATTAAAAATTGATCTAATTAGTTAATTATTATTATGAAAGTGGAGGAGGAATATTATCATTTTTTTAGACTTCAGTTTTTTCTTATTTTGTTGTAATATCAGATGATAATTAATTATTTATTTAAGTGTTAAGGTTTTTATTTTATTATTATACTTCTTATTATTTTATTCCATATTCTTCTGTTTAATTATTGGAGATTTAAGTTGAATTCACTTATTTAGATTTATTTGGAGGAGGAATCTATTGTTTTGGAACTTATTTCTAATTTTAAGGATTTTAATCCTTAGGTTAAGTTTGAAGATTAATTTCTTACTCTTTATTAATATGCTAAGGTTCAGCTTAAGTGTGAATATTTTAATTGTCACTATTAGTCTAATCAGATATTTATTATTGATTAATAATTTGAGATGAATTTTAAGTAGTTGATTGTGGAATTGGAGGTACCACAACTTAATTTTTGATTGGTGGTATACCTGCAACAGGAGGCCTGGTTGGAGGCCCTCTTTAAGGAACATTCTTTTTAATATTAGTTTATGGTTGAGGGAGACCTCTTTATTCTTTCTACAAGAATGCTTAAACACTATCCTCACTTAATTTTGACATATCTAATGACATTAATTCTTTGGGTGTCAAAATTTGTTCTACTAAGGCAGTTCTAATCAATTATCCTAGAATAGTATAATAAAGATACCTTTAGTTCCCTTTAAGCGCATTTTAACAGTATTAACTCTAGTTCTATAGTCTCTTGTATGATCACCTCCAGAAAGCGTGTATGCTTCTTATTCAAGAGATGTAGCTAATTATTCTGCAATCTAAGATGAAATTTGATCTTCTTCCAATATTTTTTTGAATTCATTTTTCTGATTTTCACGAACCCTTCTGTCGTAATTAGTGTTTTCTACAGGTCTGACTTCTTAGAACATATTTAATGAACACGTATTTTTAATAAAATATCTTAAATTAAATTATTTATGTTACCATTTTTTCCTGTTCCAGGATTACAAGACTTAGACATTCCTTAAGGAGTACAATAAGATTTCTATCCAAAAAGTCAAATTCAAGAACCTTAAGAAGCTAAGAAATTGTTTATAAAGAACTTACCTTAAGAATTAACTAATGATAATGTTGAAAAACTTTTGAAAGTAAAATGAATATGATAGTTAGGAATGTGGTCAATTAGTATCATGGAAGCGATCAAAAGGTACTCCTTTTGGGTATGCTGAATTTGAAAATATGGAAAGTGTGTTAAAATGTTTGCGCCTTCTTAATGGTATGATTCTGAACTAGAAGGAGTTACTTGTTAAGGGTGGAGAGAAAGCTTAGATGATGATTGATGGTTGGATGTACAAGAAGGAGACTGAATGGGAAGAGAGAAGAGCTAAATTAGAAGAGAAGGATAAATAAAAGGAGGAGTACAGAGCATTATTTAAATTTACATCTTTTTAAGAATACATTACTAGAGATGATGATAAAATAAAAAAGAAATTAGAAAAAATAATATCAGAATTAGAAGGCACTGTTACTAAAACTAAAAATGATAAAAAAAGAGAAGAAGAAAAGAAAGAACATCCAAGAGAGAGAGAAAGAGATGCAAAGAAGCATAATACTAGAGCAGAATTGGAGAGAAAATATAAAGAGAAAATGGCAGAATGGAAAAAGAAGGAAGATGAAAGAGAGAGAGAAAGAAAAAAAGAAAAAGAGAGAGAGATAGATCGAGAGAAAAATTTCTAAAAATATCTTGAAAAAGAATTAGCTTATGATAGTGAATAAGAACGTAAATAAATTGGTAAGATTAAGATGAACGAAAGAAAGAAATTCAGGTAAAGGGAATTTGAAGAAGATGAAATCTTTAAAAAGAAAGAATTATTAAAGACACAAAAACCTCCTGAACCTGAACAACCTTAAATGGTAGTTATTATTTAAGAGCCACCTGAGCCAGAACCTTAGTAAACCTAATAATAATTGTTATAGCAGCAAGTAATAATTCAATATTATATTTGATTTAAAACTAGCAATAGATGGAATAAGCTGAATAAATGTAATAAGAGAAATTATAAAAGGAAATTGATTTGAAAGAAGAGCTCAAATAAATATTTGCGACAATTCCAACTGAAAAAGAAGAACTATTTAATACCCAGATTAATTGGTAGTTATTTGCTTAGGTATTAATTATATATTTAGTTAATCAAAAGTCTAACTTATTGGAGAAAAAGATCCGTCCATGGTTAAGAGAGAGGTGTATTGAATATTTATCTTAAGAGGAGAGAGTATTTATTGATGCCATCATCAAAAGATTATTTAATCGTGAGAAGCCATAAACAATTATAAATAAAGTAGTAAAGAAGGTCTTGGATGACGATAGCGAACAATTTGTCATAAGAATGTGGAAGATGATTATCTTTGAATTGAGAAAATTAGAAAGAGGTCTGATTTCTTGATGATTTATTAAATAATTTAATAGTTTTATGACGTTCTTTAAACATCTAATAATATATATTATACTTTATGAAATAACCTAGCCCTTAGAATCTATAATAAATTCAAGTCGATAAAATATAGATATTGACAGATATTGATAAAACTCATTAATCGACAGTAATCATAAATCTAATCAAATACGAATCACAAATAATGGTCTAAAAAGTAAATTTTTAAATTTGATAAAAAAGAGTATATTACTCAGTTCTTTACAGACTTAAAAATAGATTGAGCATTTGCATAATGAAAAATAAGCTTTAAATGAACTTAATTATCCATCAATTAATAAAATGTAATAAACTCTAGATTACTATATCCTAGTATTGCTACCAATAAGGACGACTTAAATATTCATTTATTTTTGAAATTCGAGAAAGGAATGCCTTTACATAAATTATTAAGAAATGTAGGCAAACTTAATACAAAATTCTCTACTTTATTTTTTATTCAAATATTGATAACTTTTAATTATCTTCATGAAAATGGTTGGCTTTATAGAGATTTAAAAGCTTCTAATGTTATCATCACTTAAGAGTTTAGAATTAAACTTATTGATTTTGGATTGGCTAAAAAAATTGAAAAGGGGAGAACTTCTACATTTTGTGGTACAATTCATTCAATGCCACCTGAGGTTATAAAAAATGATGGATATGAATATGATTATTCTTTTGATGTCTACACAATAGGCATTTTGTTTTATGAAATGTTAGTAGGAAAACCTCCTTTTGGATTGAATGAATAAGGCATAGAATAAAAAATTTTAGAAGGAATTAATGAAGATTAATTATCAGCAATATAGGATATTAAAATTAGAGAAATACTAAAGAACCTTTTATCTCAAAATCCAGAATAAAGACTAAGTTGTTAATAGCTATTATAAGAAGATTTTATAATATAAAATAATTATATTGGGATTTAAAAATTTATGGAAAACGAAGAAGCAAGTTTGGATGGTTACAAGTCTGATTTATATGATGAAGAGATATGTAATTGTTAATTTGTATATATAGATTTATATTGTACATAATTTGCCTTTGAAGAAAACGATAGTGATAATGATGACTTTCAGTTTTGAGTTTTAAAAATAACAAATATTATATTAATGACTCTTTAATTATTCTAATCTTTAAGAAAGCTTATATATTATTTGATTTAATATTAAATCTCTCCATTTCACTTTTTTTTTTCAATATTAAATCATCTATTATTTTGTTAAGAATTAATATTTATATTAACCAAAAATTCAACAATATCCTTTTTTTTTATTCATTTCAAAAGTTTAAAAATTATTTAAGAATGATTAGTAAGCACAATAAGAATAATCTTTTGTAACGTTTGCTTATAATAATTTAATTTAATTTAATTAAGAAAATATCTCAAAACTTCTTAAAAATAAATTTAATAAATTTTGCAACTCTATATCTAATTTCAAAAAGAAAGCAATAAGTAAACAAGGTTTATAGAATTTCTTCAAATTTTTAATTTATTCTCAATTTTTTTCTATGAACCTTACCAAAATAATAAGACTTTAATATTCATCCTAACATTTTTATAAAAAAATGAATAAGCTAGAAAATTTGAAATAGATAATTCTTTTGAAATAAATATAATAAATAATTATTAAGTGGATACCTCAACAAAAATCAGCAGAATTTCTTCTAGTAAAAAATCTTCTAGAGATACTTCTAAGAAAAGGTGAATTAATTGTTTATTTTTTCTTTTTCTATCTTGATTTCAATAAATAATCATCTATTTAAACATCTCTACTGCATGTTAGAAGTTAATCATCAATTCTAGACTTGATTGGTGAATCTCTCTACATACTTTGATATCTCTTTAATTATTTTGGAAAATTCCTTAACATTTTTTAATATTACTAATTTTCTTATATTTGATTAATAGATTTGTTTGTTTAAGGATTCAGAGTTTTAAATGCATCTTATGTTCTTGTACTTTACATGTTATTAACTATTACTTAAGCAGTGATAGGTTTTATCTTTTCTATTACTCTTAATAATTAATAACAACTATTACTTTTAAGTAGAAGGTAATAATGATTAAGAAACAACTAAGGATCTTTATGTTTATGGTATATTATTTTCATTTAAATCCACATCATTAATTTGTATTTTTTCTGCTGTGCTCAAAACTCTTCCAGTTTTTATTACCCATTAAGTTTCTTCTGCTTTTGACATTTTTAATCCAATTACATTGATAATTGTAATATTTTTAGGATAATCTTGGATATTTTTTAGTTATACTAACAATAAAATGTACTTCCATCTCATTAATACATTATTTATGAAAACTTTATATATAAACAGCTATTTTATGGCATGTATATTTAAAATATTCTTTTAGATCTAAATTTTCTGAATATTCTTTTTCTTTATTCCATAATCTCTAACCTCTAAGTGAAGGATCTGTTAAATATGATTATTCACAAACTATATCACTAAATAGTGAATTATCTTTTATGTATTTATATCTATGAATAAAATAATCTTTAGAATTTCTTTTATTTGTCTCAATAAAATCTAATGCTGTTTTTTCATTATAAAGATATAATTATAAATGAAGTAGGTTATCAAATATAACATTTGTTTTCGATAAAACTGATAATTAATGTAATTCAATTTTTCCAATTAAAGTTGTTTCACCAGTCTAATATCTTGCCATTAGAATACTTTAAGCATTTAATATATCTGTAATTTACTAAGATTTAAATCTATAAAATACTTATTTTAATTTATTAGTTACTAAATTACTATTTTGATATAACTCAGATAATTTTATTGTAGGATGGATACCTGATTTTATTTGTTTAATTTAATGATTAATTTCAAATTCTATTTTTCTATCTAAAAGTTATTTTTCCATTTCTGTATGAAAAAAGGATTTGTTTTTGATGTATCTGAAACCATTATCATAAAATGCATATAATACAAATTCTCTTTCTTTCAAAATAATTGTATCTAAAATATTAATATTTATTGGTCTCACAACTTCATCTTACTTCTATAACATTTGACAGATTGTAAGCAAATCATCTTTAAATCCACATATTGAAAATCTTCTTTATCTTGGTTATTTAATTATTTTTTAAGATTTCTTATTTTATTCTTATGGTTCTTCTTTTTCCGGCTATTTTTTTTTGCAAATTTGACAAGAACATAAATCAGGACATTCAGTAATAGCAAATGGTATTATTTCCATTTTCTAAAGTGTTAAGTCACGAAAAGAATCCCAACATTTAAGTCCATTTAATTTTTATTAATATGACATAATTTTATTATTGATTTTGATTTAAAGTGTATATATATACTCACATCTTTATTAATTTACATAAATATTTATAATCTAAATACTTACATTATAGAACTTAGTATTGAAATTATAATAACTTTTTTTAATGATTATATAGTTATAAATTTATGAACATTTAATTGGCATAAAAAGTTGTTAATTAATGGAGAATGTTTGTAGAAAAAAAGAGAGAAGTAAGAAGCATTCTTGTAACATAATATAAACAAACCTATTTAAAAGTTTTATATTCATATAAAGAATTTAAGAAAAAGAAATTTTAATAATACATTATTACTAATGCTTCAAAACTTATATACAAAGCATTAAAAATCAATTTATAAAGAGTTTAAAATCTAAAATAATTTATCAAACATAATAAAATAAAGCGATTTTATATTTTAAAATAATAGGATAACATATTCCATAAAATAACTAAAATATAATCTTAAAATGCAATATTAAAAACAATAAGACTTCCAAAATACACTAAATGTGAACATAAGAATTTAATACCTTTGATTTTTAGAAGAGTTCAAAAAGCTGTTATTTTGTTTAACTTTCACTATATGAAAAAGTATTATGGAGAGACTACTATAGATAAAGATATGATAAAGAATGAATTTTTATTTTATTTTACGAATTATGTAACAGTTAAACGACCATGGAAATAATACCAACTTACTACTTCAGAATATGATAGATATCAACATGTACTTTAAAAAGTAGATAAATTTTAATCAGAAGAATACACTTTACTTAAATCTGTAGAATTGAAAAATATCAATATTCTCAAAAAAATATATTTATATAATAGAAAGAATAAGGAATAATAATTATAGATATATTTTGATTATTAATTAAATGAAATTGGTGCTGCTTGTAAAATTCAAAAATTTTTTAGAGGAAAAAAGGATAGAAAAATAAAAGGAATGTAATACTCTATCATAATTGGATTAATCAATTAATCTCGTGCAATATTTGTTATTCAAAAATGGTTTAGAAGAATAAGATAATTTCATAGAAATAACTTTTTTAAAGATATCTCATTTTTCATTTCATAAATACCAACAGAACATTTGTATTTAGATATGGAAATATATTAGAAAATAGAATAAATAGTATAAAATTAATAATATACTATAAAATTTTTAGAACAATATAATACGGTATCAAATAATCTTATTTTAGATAGTTTCTGATGCTGAATCTGTAAGATTAATGTTCTCA